AACAGAACTAGAACGACTAGAACAGAACTAGAACAGAACTAGAACAGAACCTAGAACCAGAACTAGAACAGAACTAGAACAGAACTAGAACAGAACTAGAACAGAACTAGAACAGGAACTAGAACAGAACTAGAACAGAACTAGAACAGAACTAGAACAGAACTAGAACAGAACTAGAACAGAACTAGAACAGAACTAGAACAGAACTAACTAGAAACTAGAACAGAACTAGAACAGAACTAGAACAGAACTAGAACAGAACTAGAACAACTAGAACAGAACTAGAACAGAACTAGAACAGAACTAACAGAACTAGAACAGACTAGACAGAACTAGAACAGACTAGAACATAACTAGAACAGAACTAGAACAGAGCTAGAACGAACTAGAACAGAACTAGAACAGAACTAGAACAGAACTAGAACAGAACTAGAACAGAACTAGAACAGAACTAGAACAGAACTAGAACAAACTAGAACAGAACTAGAACAGAACTAGAACAGAACTAGAACAGAACTAGAACAGAACTAGAACAGAACTAGAACAGAACTAGAACAGAACTAGAACAGAACTAGAACAGAACTAGAACAGAACTAGGTGAACTAACTTCGCTTATGGTATTCAATTAAGGAAAGTGATTCATGTCTTCATTATGACCAATAGGTATAAATTAATAATTTTCTTGGCTAAAATAATTTCCAATATCCCACGGCATTTAATAATTGACTTGTAATCTTATCATTAAAGCAATGGATATTTTCAACACCATATTCTTAATATTTTAACTGCAATTTCTGTGAAATTATTGCAATTTTAAATTGTTCCAGCTGTGAACAGCAGATAAGAATATTATTATGAAAAAAGAGTTCACATTTGTTGCTAAAAAGTAATAACAAAATAATTTTTATACTATAATAGATAATCTGGCTTGGCAATATCGGAGTTCTGATCTAAAAGTGGAAAATGACAAGTTTTAAATCTATCTCTTTCAACAGGTTCGTTCGTATAAATATCTATTGCGAACGAATCTATTTACTTATGTATGAATTCTATGTAATTATGGCCTTTAGTTTTATATCGGTTCAATATAATGTGATTGGCCTATGTCAATAATAAAACACGATAAGTAATAAGAATAAATATGGCTAATATTTATTTAATGCAAACAATAATTGTTCTCAATTACTTAATTAAGTGGCTGATTTCAAGTGGCTGATTTCAGTAGCAGTATAAATAAGGACAAGTACACTATACATGTTAGGGCGTCCTAAGCCAATTGGAACTTCGCTCCGGAACGACCCGAGTCATACTTGGCCAAAGATTTTCAACTCAGCGACAGCTATATCATCCGAAAGTTTTTTTTTCCTATGAAAGAACTACCAGCCACAGTTGAACTGTTGCAACAACAACTATATTAGGGATATATCGAAAAACTTTAGACTGCTTCTAATCCAAACTTTATACAAAGTATTCTTATCAATTGCAGATAGAGCACAAATAAATTTAAATTGACAAATTTTTGCTATTTTAATTATACCCTGCAGTTTTAAGACATAAGAGACTAACTATTTCAATCAACATCGATTGGACTAGTATCGATATTAAATTTTAAATATCATTACAGATTTTGATAATAACAATAATACCAGAAATATCTAAGCAAAATATAATATTCTATTAAACTTTGTATGCATATGACTAAAATAAAATATATTTTACAATCTCGATATTTCTTATCATAAAAAAAAGTTAGACAAAACTGTTTGCTAAACACCTTTTTAACACCTGACTACTCGCATTTCATAACAAAGCTACAAGAACAAAAAAAAACATTGACTTGTGAATTAATAACATGAGATAATTTAAGTTACCATAATACCCATCCATCTAAATGTTATAAACATTAAATGATGCTTATCAACTGTCAATTATTATAAGTAGTTAAAAAATAAATTTTGCATTAATACACTTAATCACAATTTTATATCGAAAATTTTACAATCACCATTTCTTTAACAGAAAAGTTGCCTTTTAGAAATCTGGTCCATGTTCAAAGTTTTAATGTATGACATTTTTAGAAAACGTTTTGTTAGTTTTCTAAAAAAATAACCAGAACTGAACCAGAACTAAACTAGAACTAAACAAGAACTGAACTAGACGAACTAGAACTGAACTAGAACTGAAAACTAGAACTGACTAGAACTGAACTAGAACTGAACTAGAACTGAACTAGAACTGAACTAGAACTGAACTAGAACTGAACTAGAACTGAACTAAGAACTGAACTGAACTAGAACTGAACTAAACTGAACTAGAACTGACTAGAACTGAACTAGAACTGAAAGAACTGAACTAGAACTGAACTAGACTGAACTAGAACTGAACTAGAACTGAACTAGAACTGAACTAGAACTGAACTAGAACTGAACTAGAACTGAACTAGAACTGAACTAGAACTGAACTAGAACTGAACTAGAACTGAACTAGAACTGAACTAGAACTGAACTAGAACTGAACTAGAACTGAACTAGAACTGAACTAGAACTGAACTAGAATGAACTAGAACTGAACTAGAACCGAACTAGAACTGAACTGAACTGAACTAGAAAAGAATGAACTAGAACTGAACTAGAACTGAACTAGAACTGAACTAGAACTGAACTAGAACTGAATAGAACTGAACTAGAACTGAACTAGAACTGAACTAGAACTGAACTAGAACTGAACTAGAACTGAACTAGAAACTGAACTAGAACTGAACTAGAACTGAACTAGAACTGAACTAGAACTGAACTAGAACTGAACTAGAACTGAACTAGAAACTGAACTAGAACTGAACTAGAACTGAACTAGAACTGAACTAGAACTGAACTAGAACTGAACTAAGAACTAGAACTGAACTAGACTGAACTAGAACTGAACTAGAACTGAACTAGAACTGAACTAGAACTGAACTAGAACTGAACTAGAACTGAACTAGAACTGAACTAGAACTGAACTAGAACTGAACTAGAACTGAACTAGAACTGAACTAGAACTGAACTAGAACTGAACTAGAACTGAACTAGATACTAGAACTGAACTAGAACTGAACTAGAACTGAACTAGAACTGAACTAGAGCTGAACTAGAACTGAACTAGAACTGAACTAGAACTGAACTAGAACTGAACTAGAACTGAACTAGAAACTGAACTAGAACTGACTGAACTAGAACTGAACTAGAACCGAACTAGAACTGAACTAGAACTGAACTAGAACTGAACTAGAACTGAACTAGAACTGAACTAGAACTGAACTAGAACTGAACTAGAACTGAACTAGAACTGAACTAGAACTGAACTAGAACTGAACTAGAACTGAACTAGAACTGAACTAGAACTGAACTAGAACTGAACTAGAACTGAACTAGAACTGAACTAGAACTGAACTAGAAGTGAACTAGAACTGAACTAGAAGTGAACTAGAACTGAACTAGAAATGAACTAGAACTGAACTAGAACTGAACTAGAACTGAACTAGAACTGAACTAGAACTGAACTAGAACTGAACTAGAACTGAACTAGAACTGAACTAGAAACTGAACTAGAACTGAACTAGAACTGAACTAGAACTGAACTAGAACTGAACTAGAACTGAACTAGAACTGAACTAGAACTGAACTAGAACTGAACTAGAACTGAACTAGAACTGAACTAGAACAGAACTAGAACAGAATTGGAACAGAACTAGAACAGAACTAGAACAGAACTAGAACAGAACTAGAACAAAACTAGAACAGAACTAGAACAGAACTAGAACAGAACTAGAACAGAACTAGAACAGAACTAGAACAGAACTAGAACAGAACTAGAACAGAACTAGAACAGAACTAGAACAGAACTAGAACAGAACTAGAACAGAACTAGAACAGAACTAGAACAGAACTAGAACAGAACTAGAACAGAACTAGAACAGAACTAGAACAGAACTAGAACAGAACTAGAACAGAACTAGAACAGAACAGAACTAGAACAGAAATAGAACAGAAGGCGAACAGAACTAGAACTCAATAAATAAATATCGAAATTTTCAAAAAATATCAATAATAAATTGAAATATCTAGAATATTTATGACAAAGTTTATAAGTTTATTATTTTAACAACAATTAAATAAAGTAAATATGACTCACAGGATGTAAGCTATTCATCACATGTAAGAGTATTATTACAACCCAGCAAAAACTTACATTAAAATGAAATGAGTTAAAAAGCTAATATGCGCTACTTACTCACTATTGCTTTTTAACTCAGAGTGATGATTTTGAAGACCTGTCTCGCTTACAGATTATTACTTAAATAAGTACTTATAAATTGGGAGTTAACAAGTTTTTTGGTGTAAAGCAAAAACATAATACGAACCGATGTCTTGTGTTCGTAAGTCCGATTTCTTACACACAACTCCGCATCTTAGTTAATTTAATGGTTTTCACCTAGAAACACGCCATATGAATTGCAGACTATATTATTATAAAATAAAATAAAAATTACCCTTCATAATTATTATGATCTTTTTAAGTGATATATTTATTAAAATTTCGTAGAATTTTTTAAAATAATGTTTTTTACAATTTAAAAAGAATTCTATTTTTATTAAATGTTATATCTTTTTTTAATTGTTTAAAGCAAAGACTATATAAATTTGTATCAATTTAGCTAAAACGCAAACAAAGCCCTTGTCTTATCTAATAATTTTTTGGGTGATTTTTTCGCATATTTATTTAACTTTTTTTATTCCCCCGTTATACATATTTATTATTATCGTTATAGAGATGTTGGCCATACAAGAAAAACAAACGAAATCAGTATTTTACACAATTTTATCTCAAAAAAAAAACTATTAGCAATTGATAGGGGGAAAAGCGGAGCAAGCCCTAACGCATATAACTCGCTTATAGTACAATCGCCTCGTTTGCTGTATAGAATCTATCGGAAATGCAAAAGAAATGATAAAAACCATTTGTTGTTAACAAATTAATTGTTAGTAATAATTTAAAAGCCGTGGCAATACGAACGTCTGTGCTCTTTATCGATATTGTCAAATTATTGTAGACAATTGTGGTGAAAAGATCGTTTAAAGAACGAAGAATAAATACTCGTTAGAATAATAGACAAAAAAATTTAAAAGTATTAAAGAAATTTGCTAATACTTTTTAATATTTAAAAGAACATATTTTTTTAAAAACAAAATTAAGTAAAATATATAAAAAATGAAATTATTTTATATATTTTTACTAGCGGCACTGACAGTGACCCATTCCAAAGGTACGAAATTTGAATGGAAATTCAGTTTTGAAAACTGATTTTTTTTAAAAGATTAAACAAATGTCTGTGAATAAAAAAATCTATAAAAGTTTTAATATGTGAATTCTAAATTAATAAACTTTTTAAATAAATTAAACAATATATTAAAAAATACAACAAAAACGTTCAAAATTTTAATAACATATGGAAAATATTAATAAAATAATTATTAATATTATAAATCAAGATTTTAATTAAAAAAATTAAATTAAAATCTCAGCATCAGGAAAAAGTACTTGAATTTTTTATTTACTTTTCATAAAATAAAATATTCTAGAGAGAGTTTAATGGGAACTATTTCAGATCCTTTAATTACACAGACCAACCAAGATTGAGCAGAGCATAGTATGAATCTGGCCTCAGATCAGTTTATCGAAATATCATATTCTTGAACACCTGATGCGATGGATGAATTCTGTGTCCAGATTCAATTCCAGTGTTTGGTCTCTAGGTTTTGAATTTATTCAAATTTTTTGATCTGTGTCATCTTGGAACTTGTGATAAACTGAACTAGAACTGAACTAGAACAGAACTAGAACTGAACTAGAACTGAACTAGAACTGAACTAGAACTGAACTAGAACTGAACTAGAACTGAACTAGAACTGAACTAGAACTGAACTAGAACTGAACTAGAACTGAACTAGAACTGAACTAGAACTGAACTAGAACTGAACTAGAACTGAACTAGAACTGAACTAGAACTGAACTAGAACTGAACTAGAACTGAACTAGAACTGAACTAGAACTGAACTAGAACTGAACTAGAACTGAACTAGAACTGAACTAGAACTGAACTAGAACTGAACTAGAACTGAACTAGAACTGAACTAGAACTGAACTAGAACTGAACTAGAACTGAACTAGAACTGAACTGAACTAGAACTGAACTAGAACTGAACTAGAACTGAACTAGAACTGAACTAGAACTGAACTAGAACTGAACTAGAACTGAACTAGAACTGAACTAGAACTGAACTAGAACTGAACTAGAACTGAACTAGAACTGAACTAGAACTGAACTAGAACTGAACTAGAACTGAACTAGAACTGAACTAGAACTGAACTAGAACTGAACTAGAACTGAACTAGAACTGAACTAGAACTGAACTAGAACTGAACTAGAACTGAACTAGAACTGAACTAGAACTGAACTAGAACTGAACTAGAACTGAACTAGAACTGAACTAGAACTGAACTAGAACTGAACTAGAACTGAACTAGAACTGAACTAGAACTGAACTAGAACTGAACTAGAACTGAACTAGAACTGAACTAGAACTGAACTAGAACTGAACTAGAACTGAACTAGAACTGAACTAGAACTGAACTAGAACTGAACTAGAACTGAACTAGAACTGAACTAGAACTGAACTAGAACTGACTACTAGAACTGAACTAGAACTGAACTAGAACTTAACTAGAACTGAACTAGAACTGAACTAGAACTGAACTAGAACTTAACTAGAACTGAACTAGAACTGAACTAGAACTGAACTAGAACTGAACTAGAACTGAACTAGAACTGAACTAGAACAGAACTAGAACTGAACTAGAACTGAACTAGAACCGAACTAGAACTGAACTAGAACTGAACTAGAACTGAACTAGAACTGAACTAGAACTGAACTAGAACTGAACTAGAACTGAACTAGAACTGAACTAGAACTGAACTAGAACTGAACTAGAACTGAACTAGAACTAGAACTGAACTAGAACTGAACTAGAACTGAACTAGAACTGAATTAGAACTGAACTAGAACTAGAACTGTTCATTTTTCCAGTGTATTGCGAAATATAATAGACATTTTATTATTAAAAAAAATGTTAATGTAATAAAACAAAGATATCAATAAAATTAAGATAAAATCAAAGTCATGTTGCTTCTTGTTATAGATTTTTATAAATTTTTCATTTCAAATGAATCATTTTAAATTATGTTTGTAATTAAAAACATATATTTTGTCTCAATAAAAACTATTCAACGAAATTTGAAACTAAAAAATAATAATTTTAAAATTAGGAACTATAGAACTAAATAAGATTAATTTATTTTTAGCTGAAATTTTACAATGTTACGTTTGCGATGGCGACGATTGCTCCGATATTTCAAAAATGACCAAAGAATCTTGTGGACCTGAGGAAATAACAACACCAGAACCTGAGCCAGTATCAACAACGGAATCAACAAGTGGAACGGAAACTACCGAATCACATGATACAACAACTGAATCAGGTTCAGGAGAACCGGAAACAACAACGGAATCTGGCGAAACAGCATCGACTACAGAAAGTCCTGAATCAACAACAGGCTCAGGCGCAACAACGACTACTGAATCTGCAGCACCAACAACAACAATTGCTCCAGAAACGACAACAATTGGAAGTGAAACAACATCGGAAGCTAGTCCTGAAATAACAACTACTAGTGCTCCGGAAACAACCACTTCAGGATCTGTTACAACAACTAATACACCTGAATCAACATCAACTGGTGCTACAGAAACGACAACTAATACACCTGAATCAACAACAACTGGTACTCCAGAAACAACAACTTTAGAAACTATTACTACAACTAACACACCTGAATCAACAACAACTGGTGCTCCAGAAACAACAACTTCACAACCCGAAACAACAAGCATTAAACCCGAATCTACAACTATTAAAGATCCGATAACAACGACTTTGGGGACAGTTGAGCCAGAATCGACTACTGTTGACGATCCGGTAACAGCACCATCTACAGTTCAACCCGAAACAACAACTGTTTCAGCACCAGAAACCCCAACCTCAGGTCCTGCAACAACAACCATTGCAACCGAAACTACAATTGGTAATTCTCCTTTAACAACAACTGTAAAATCCGAATTGACTACCAACGAACCAGAAACAACAACCGTTTCCTCACCAGTAACCACAACTGCAGATTCTACAACAACAACCAATACAGCCGAAACAAAAACTGTTAATACCAAATCAAAACGTTCAATTTCTCCATCAGCTATATTACTAAACAATTATCGTCGTATTTCCCGTAGTCGTCGCGATACCAGCGGAATCGGCTATAGCTGTTACTCTGTGGAATATAAAGGTTAGTTTCAAGTTAAATCAAATCATCAAAAGTTCGGATTTATTATCTTTCTCTACTAAAGATTTAATTGATTTTACAAATAAATTAATTACTATTATTATTATTTTTCCTTCAACAGACAATGATAAAACCAAACTGAAAAAGGGCTGTGTTGCCATACCAACTGAAAAATCTGCCTGTGAAGTGGTTGCTGATAAGGTCGGCGAAGAGAACATGATTAAAGACTCCTGCAAAGTTTGCATGAATAATTTATGCAATTCCAGTTCCATGCTGCAGTTTTCCATTTTAACACTATTCTTGGCCATATCTGTTAAATTTTTAATGTGATTTTATATATTTGTATAATATTTTTTAAAATAATTAGTTTTATATTAATGTGGAAAAATAAATAATTAAGAATACAACAATACTAAATTATTCCTTTTATTTCACAACAAAAATCAATATTTTGAGTGAAAACTTAAAAGTCCATTTTCTGGCTAAACTAGAGGCGCTACGACAAAAAGAAAGAAAATCTGTGATCACTTCAATTTCCCATCAAACTTGATTTTTTGAGTGAAAACATAAAAGTCCATTTTCTGGCTAAACCAAAGCGCTAGGACAAAAAGAAAGAAAATCTGTGATCACTTCAAATTCCCACCAAATATCGATTTTTTGAGTGAAAACATAAAAGTCCATTTTCTGGCTAAACCAAAGGCGCTACGACAAAAAGAAAGAAAATCTGTGATCACTTCAATTTCCCACCAAATATCGATTTTTTGAGTGAAAACATAAAGGTCCATTTTCTGGCTAAACTAAAGGCGCTAGGACAAAAAGAAAGAAAATCTGTAATCACTTCAATTTCCCACCAAAAATCGATTTTTTTAGTAAAAACATAAAAGTCCATTTTCTGGCTAAACTAGAGGTGCTACGACAAAAAGAAAGAAAATCTGTGATCACTTCAATTTCCCATCAAACATCGATTTTTTGAGTGAAAACCTAAAAGTCCATTTTCTGGCTAAACTAGAGGCGCTACGACAAAAAGAAAGAAAAACTGTGATCACTTCAATTTCCCATCAAACATCGATTTTTTGAGTGAAAACCTAAAAGTCCATTTCTGGCTAAACTAAAGGCGCTAGGACAAAAAGAAAGAAAATCTGTGATCATATCAATTTCCCACCAAAAATTGATTTTTTGAGTGAAAACATAAAAGTCCATTTTTTGGCTAAACTAAAGGCGCTAGGACAAAAAAAAAGAAAATCTGTGATCATATCAATTTCCCACCAAAAATTGATTTTTTGAGTGAAAACATAAAAGTCCATTTTCTGGCTGAACTAAAGGCGCTAGGACAAAAAGAAAGAAAATCTGTGATCACTTCAATTTCCCACCAAAATCCTAATTTTTGAGTGAAAACATAAAAGTCCATTTTTTGGCTAAACTAGAAGCGCTAGGACAAAAAGAAAGAAAATCTGTGATCACTTCAATTTCCCACCAAAAATTGATTTTTTGAGTGAAAACCTAAAAGTCCATTTTCTGGCTAAACTAGAGGCGCTACGACAAAAAGAAAGAAAATCTGTGATCTCTTCAAATTCCCACCAAATATCGATTTTTTGAGTGAAAACATAAAAGTCCATTTTCTGGCTAAACTAGAAGCGCTAGGACAAAAAGAAAGAAAATCTGTGATCACTTCAATTTCCCATCAAACATCGATTTTTTGAGTGAAAACATAAAAGTCCATTTTCTGGCTAAACCAAAGCGCTAGGACAAAAAGAAAGAAAATCTGTGATCACTTCAAATTCCCACCAAATATCGATTTTTTGAGTGAAAACATAAAAGTCCATTTTCTGGCTAAACTAAAGGCGCTAGGACAAAAAGAAAGAAAATCTGTGATCACTTCAATTTCCCATCAAACATCGATTTTTTGAGTGAAAACATAAAAGTCCATTTTCTGGCTAAACCAAAGCGCTACGACAAAAAGAAAGAAAATCTGGGATCACTTCAAATTCCCACCAAAAATCGATTTTTTTAGTAAAAACATAAAAGTCCATTTTCTGGCTAAACTAGAGGTGCTACGACAAAAAGAAAGAAAATCTGTGATCACTTCAATTTCCCATCAAACATCGATTTTTTGAGTGAAAACATAAAAGTCCATTTTCTGGCTAAACTAGAGGCGCTAGGACAAAAAGAAAGAAAATCTGTGATCACTTCAATTTCCCACCAAAAATCGATTTTTTGAGTGAAAACATAAAAATCCATTTTCTGGCTAAACTAAAGGCGCTAGGACAAAAAGAAAGAAAATCTGTGATCACTTCAATTTCCCACCAAAAATCGATTTTTTGAGTGAAAACATAAAAGTCCATTTTCTGGCTAAACTAAAGGCGCTAGGACAAAAAGAAAGAAAATCTGTGATCACTTCAATTTCCCACCAAAAATCGATTTTTTGAGTGAAAACATAAAAGTCCATTTTCTGGCTAAACTAAAGGCGCTAGGACAAAAAGAAAGAAAATCTGTGATCACTTCAATTTCCCACCAAACTTGATTTTTTGAGTGAAAACATAAAAGTCCATTTTCTGGCTAAACCAAAGCGCTAGGACAAAAAGAAAGAAAATCTGTGATCACTTCAAATTCCCACCAAATATCGATTTTTTGAGTGAAAACATAAAAGTCCATTTTCTGGCTAAACTAGAGGCGCTAGGACAAAAAGAAAGAAAATCTGTAATCACTTCAATTTCCCACCAAAAATCGATTTTTTTAGTAAAAACATAAAAGTCCATTTTCTGGCTAAACTAGAGGTGCTACGACAAAAAGAAAGAAAATCTGTGATCACTTCAATTTCCCATCAAACATCGATTTTTTGAGTGAAAACATAAAAGTCCATTTTCTGGCTAAACTAGAGGCGCTAGGACAAAAAGAAAGAAAATCTGTGATCACTTCAATTTCCCACCAAAAATCGATTTTTTGAGTGAAAACATAAAAATCCATTTTCTGGCTAAACTAAAGGCGCTAGGACAAAAAGAAAGAAAATCTGTGATCACTTCAATTTCCCACCAAAAATCGATTTTTTGAGTGAAAACATAAAAGTCCATTTTCTGGCTAAACTAAAGGCGCTAGGACAAAAAGAAAGAAAATCTGTGATCACTTCAATTTCCCACCAAAAATTGATTTTTTGAGTGAAAACATAAAAGTCTATTTTCTGGCTAAACTAGAGGCGCTAGGACAAAAAGAAAGAAAATCTGTGATCACTTCAATTTCCCACCAAAAATCGATTTTTTTAGTAAAAACATAAAAGTCCATTTTCTGGCTAAACTAGAGGTGCTACGACAAAAAGAAAGAAAATCTGTGATCACTTCAATTTCCCACCAAAAATTGATTTTTTGAGTGAAAACATAAAAGTCCATTTTCTGGCTAAACTAGAGGCGCTAGGACAAAAAGAAAGAAAATCTGTAATCACTTCAATTTCCCACCAAAAATCGATTTTTTTAGTAAAAACATAAAAGTCCATTTTCTGGCTAAACTAGAGGTGCTACGACAAAAAGAAAGAAAATCTGTGATCACTTCAATTTCCCATCAAACATCGATTTTTTGAGTGAAAACATAAAAGTCCATTTTCTGGCTAAACTAGAGGCGCTAGGACAAAAAGAAAGAAAATCTGTGATCACTTCAATTTCCCACCAAAAATCGATTTTTTGAGTGAAAACATAAAAATCCATTTTCTGGCTAAACTAAAGGCGCTAGGACAAAAAGAAAGAAAATCTGTGATCACTTCAATTTCCCATCAAACATCGATTTTTTGAGTGAAAACATAAAAGTCCATTTTCTGGCTAAACTAGAGGCGCTAGGACAAAAAGAAAGAAAATCTGTGATCACTTCAATTTCCCACCAAAAATCGATTTTTTGAGTGAAAACATAAAAATCCATTTTCTGGCTAAACTAAAGGCGCTAGGACAAAAAGAAAGAAAATCTGTGATCACTTCAATTTCCCACCAAAAATCGATTTTTTGAGTGAAAACATAAAAGTCCATTTTCTGGCTAAACTAAAGGCGCTAGGACAAAAAGAAAGAAAATCTGTGATCACTTCAATTTCCCACCAAAAATTGATTTTTTGAGTGAAAACATAAAAGTCTATTTTCTGGCTAAACTAGAGGCGCTAGGACAAAAAGAAAGAAAATCTGTGATCACTTCAATTTCCCACCAAAAATCGATTTTTTTAGTAAAAACATAAAAGTCCATTTTCTGGCTAAACTAGAGGTGCTACGACAAAAAGAAAGAAAATCTGTGATCACTTCAATTTCCCACCAAAAATTGATTTTTTGAGTGAAAACATAAAAGTCCATTTTCTGGCTAAACTAGAGGCGCTAGGACAAAAAGAAAGAAAATCTGTAATCACTTCAATTTCCCACCAAAAATCGATTTTTTTAGTAAAAACATAAAAGTCCATTTTCTGGCTAAACTAGAGGTGCTACGACAAAAAGAAAGAAAATCTGTGATCACTTCAATTTCCCATCAAACATCGATTTTTTGAGTGAAAACATAAAAGTCCATTTTCTGGCTAAACTAGAGGCGCTAGGACAAAAAGAAAGAAAATCTGTGATCACTTCAATTTCCCACCAAAAATCGATTTTTTGAGTGAAAACATAAAAATCCATTTTCTGGCTAAACTAAAGGCGCTAGGACAAAAAGAAAGAAAATCTGTGATCACTTCAATTTCCCACCAAAAATCGATTTTTTGAGTGAAAACATAAAAGTCCATTTTCTGGCTAAACTAAAGGCGCTAGGACAAAAAGAAAGAAAATCTGTGATCACTTCAATTTCCCACCAAAAATCGATTTTTTGAGTGAAAACATAAAAGTCCATTTTCTGGCTAAACTAAAGGCGCTAGGACAAAAAGAAAGAAAATCTGTGATCACTTCAATTTCCCACCAAAAATTGATTTTTTGAGTGAAAACATAAAAGTCTATTTTCTGGCTAAACTAGAGGCGCTAGGACAAAAAGAAAGAAAATCTGTGATCACTTCAATTTCCCACCAAAAATCGATTTTTTTAGTAAAAACATAAAAGTCCATTTTCTGGCTAAACCAAAGCGCTACGACAAAAAGAAAGAAAATCTGTGATCACTTCAAATTCCCACCAAATATCGATTTTTTGAGTGAAAACATAAAAGTCCATTTTCTGGCTAAACCAAAGCGCTACGACAAAAAGAAAGAAAATCTGTGATCACTTCAAATTCCCACCAAATATCGATTTTTTGAGTGAAAACATAAAAGTCCATTTTCTGGCTAAACCAAAGGCGCTACGACAAAAAGAAAGAAAATCTGTGATCACTTCAATTTCCCACCAAATATCGATTTTTTGAGTGAAAACATAAAGGTCCATTTTCTGGCTAAACTAAAGGCGCTAGGACAAAAAGAAAGAAAATCTGTGATCACTTCAATTTCCCACCAAAAATTGATTTTTTGAGTGAAAACATAAAAGTCCATTTTCTGGATAAACTAGAAGCGCTAGGACAAAAAGAAAGAAAATCTGTGATCACTTCAATTTCCCATCAAACATCGATTTTTTGAGTGAAAACATAAAAGTCCATTTTCTGGCTAAACCAAAGCGCTAGGACAAAAAGAAAGAAATCTGTGATCACTTCAAATTCCCACCAAATATCGATTTTTTGAGTGAAAACATAAAAGTCCATTTTCTGGCTAAACTAAAGGCGCTAGGACAAAAAGAAAAAAATCTGTGATCACTTCAATTTCCCACCAAAAATTGATTTTTTGAGTGAAAACATAAAAGTCCATTTTTTGGCTAAACTAGAAGCGCTAGGACAAAAAGAAAGAAAATCTGTGATCACTTCAATTTCCCACCAAAAATTTATTTTTTGAGTGAAAACCTAAAAGTCCATTTTCTGGCTAAACTAGAGGCGCTACGACAAAAAGAAAGAAAATCTGTGATCACTTCAATTTCCCATCAAACATCGATTTTTTGAGTGAAAACATAAAAGTCCATTTTCTGGCTAAACCAAAGCGCTAGGACAAAAAGAAAGAAAATCTGTGATCACTTCAAATTCCCACCAAATATCGATTTTTTGAGTGAAAACATAAAAGTCCATTTTCTGGCTAAACCAAAGGCGCTACGACAAAAAGAAAGAAAATCTGTGATCACTTCAATTTCCCACCAAATATCGATTTTTTGAGTGAAAACATAAAAGTCCATTTTCTGGCTAAACTAAAGGCGCTAGGACAAAAAGAAAGAAAATCTGTAATCACTTCAATTTCCCACCAAAAATCGATTTTTTTAGTAAAAACATAAAAGTCCATTTTCTGGCTAAACTAAAGGCGCTAGGACAAAAGAAAGAAAATCTGTGATCACTTCAATTTATGAGTGAAAACATAAAAGTCCATTTTTTGGCTAAACTAAAGGCGCTAGGACAAAAAGAAAGAAAATCTGTGATCACTTCAATTTCCCACCAAACATCGATTTTTTGAGTGAAAACATAAAGGTCCATTTTTTGGCTAAACTAACGGCGCTAGGACAAAGAGAAAGAAAATTTGTGATCACTTCAATTTCCCATCAATCATCGATTTTTTGAGTGAAAACATAAAAGTCCTTTTTCTGGCTAAACTAGAGGCTCTAGGACAAAAAGAAAGAAAATCTGTGATCACTTCAATTTCCCACCAAAATCGTATTTTTTGAGTGAAAACATAAAAGTCCATTTTCTGGCTAAACTAGAGGCGCTATGACAATAAGAAAGAAAATCTGTGATCACTTCAATTTCCAACCAAAATCGTATTTTTTGAGTGAAAACATAAAAGTCCATTTTCTGGCTAAACTAAAGGCGCTAGGACAAAAAGAAAGAAAATCTGTGATCACTTTAATTTCCCATCGATGTATGAGTGAAAACATAAAAGACCATTTTCTGGCTAAACTAAAGGCGCTAGGACAAAAAGAAAGAAAATCTGTGATCACTTCAATTTCCCACCAAAATCGTATTTTTTGAGTGAAAACATAAAAGTCCATTTTCTGGCTGAACTAGAGGCTCTAGGACAAAAAGAAAGAAAATCTGTGATCACTTCAATTTCCCACCAAATATCGATTTTTTAAGTGAAAACATAAAGTTAATTTTTTGGCTAAACTAAAGGCACTTTCGCTGACTCACCCATTTCAAATTCAAAAATAACGGTTATAACAGTAACTGGCAAACTTTCTAAAACATTAATAAAATTCTTTACTGTTATTAACATTTTCTGCTTAATTTAACATAGTATAATCAGTACAACTAAACAATTTGACTAAAATGAGAAAAAATCTTATCATTTGCTCCGGCTGTTAACAATTGCGAGTTATTTGTCAATTGATAAGAACTTTCAAACAAATTAAATGAAGTCTTTATGGTCAAATCAAACCAAATATTAACAGTCAACTAGAAAAACTGAAAGTGTTAACAACGTTATTTATTGCGGTGAAAAAGATATCGAATTTTAATTAAATAATTTAAAACGAGAGCGGAAAAACATGATGTTTTCAAGTGAAAAATATGCAAAATATATTTGTTTAATTGTTATAGTTCTAATGCAGTTAGTGCTACCAGCTGCTGGTAAGTTTTAGTTAATAAAATTTTATTACAACAAATAGCAAAAATAAGCAATTGGTTATGGCCTGGTGTTTTGAATAATATAATATTTATAAATTTATAAAAAGGCCTTGATATTTTAACATATGCATACATATGGAGTATTTCTATATATTTATTAATAAATCTGTTTTTTATATTTTAAGGACTTCAATGTATACAGTGTGGAGGTGATGTAAAATGTAGTACAACTCTAGGAGAAACGGCTAAAGATTGTCCTGCAGATGAAAAGACATATACAAAATGCTTTACACAAATTGGTAAGTATTCATTTTGAGGTCAAAACCCCTTCAGCAAAGTTTATAAGAATGAAATCAATTCTCTTTTCTCTAATAAAGTTTTTCAAAAGCTCTAATATCAGATTAACTAGAATTTATATTTGAAAACTTAGACGTGTATTTAGCTTAAGTATTTCACCATCAAGTTTTTCCTTTAACGTGTCGAAAAAATCGTAAAATTATACCTTTGATTTGTCAATACTCTAGTTATGACTAATCTTTTAAACAAATTTATTATATTCGTTTTAATAATCAGTAAAAGTTAACCAAGTGATAGAAGTATAGTATAGAAAAATAACTGATAATAATTTAGTGGGTTATACCGAATTATTTGTACGCTTCTACAGAAGAAAAGCACCAAAAGGCTACAACGACTAGCCACCTCCAAAATATGTAACTTATTTAAAATAAGGCTTAGCTTATCTCTTCAAGATCTAATACTTTTAACACAAAGGAACATGTACTAAATATACAAGACTTTTGAATTAGAATTACTAGGGACAAGCCGATACTTATTCTAGTTCAGTTCTAGTTCATTTCTAGTTCAGTTCTAGTTCAGCTCTAGTTCAGTTCTAGTTCAGTTCTAGTTCAGTTCTAGTTTAGCTAGTTCATTTCTAGTTCAGTTTCTAGTTCAGTTCTAGTTCAGTTCTAGTTCATTTCTAGTTCAGTTCTAGTTCAGTTCTAGTTCAGTTCTAGTTCAGTTCTAGTTCAGTTCTAGTTAAGTTCTAGTTCAGTTCTAGTTCAGTTCTAGTTCAGTTCTAGTTCAGTTCTAGTTCAGTTCTAGTTCAGCTCTAGTTCAGTTCTAGTTCAGTTCTAGTTCAGTTCTAGTTCAGTTCTAGTTCAGTTCTAGTTCAGTTCTAGTTCAGTTCTAGTTCAGTTCTAGTTCATTCTAGTTCAGTTCTAGTTCAGTTTCTAGTTCAGTTCTAGTTCAGTTCTAGTTCAGTTCTAGTTCAGTTCTAGTTCAGTTCTAGTTCAGTTCTAGTTCAGTTCTAGTTCAGTTCTCGTTCAGTTCTAGTTCAGTTCTAGTTCAGTTCTAGTTCAGTTCTAGTTCAGTTCTAGTCAGTTCTAGTTCAGTTCTAGTTCAGTTCTAGTTCAGTTCTAGTTCAGTTCTAGTTCAGTTCTAGTTCAGTTCTAGTTCAGTTCTAGTTCAGTTCTAGTTCAGTTCTAGTTCAGTTCTAGTTCAGTTCTAGTTCAGTTCTAGTTCAGTTCTAGTTCAGTTTCTAGTTCAGTTCTAGTTCAGTTCTAGTTCAGTTCTAGTTCAGTTCTAGTTCAGTTCTAGTTCAGTTCTAGTTCAGTTCTAGTTCAGTTCTAGTTCAGTTCTAGTTCAGTTCTAGTTCAGTTCTAGTTCAGTTCTAGTTCAGTTTCTAGTTCAGTTCTAGTTCAGTTCTAGTTCAGTTCTAGTTCAGTTCTAGTTCAGTTCTAGTTCAGTTCTAGTTCAGTTCTAGTTCAGTTCTAGTTCAGTTCTAGTCAGTTCTAGTTCAGTTCTAGTTCAGTTCTAGTTCAGTTCTAGTTCAGTTCTAGTTCAGTTCTAGTTCAGTTCTAGTTCAGTTCTAGTTCAGTTCTAGTTCAGTTCTAGTTCAGTTCTAGTTCAGTTCTAGTTCAGTTCTAGTTCAGTTCTAGTTCAGTTCTAGTTCAGTTCTAGTTCAGTTCTAGTTCAGTTCTAGTTCAGTTCTAGTTCGTTCTAGTTCAGTTCTAGTTCAGTTCTAGTTCAGTTCTAGTTCAGTTCTAGTTCAGTTCTAGTTCAGTTCTAGTTCAGTTCTAGTTCAGTTCTAGTTCAGTTCTAGTTCAGTTCTAGTTCAGTTCTAGTTCAGTTCTAGTTCAGTTCTAGTTCAGTTCTAGTTCAGTTCTAGTTCAGTTCTAGTTCAGTTCTAGTTCAGTTCTAGTCAGTTCTAGTTCAGTTCTAGTTCAGTTCTAGTTCAGTTCTAGTTCAGTTCTAGTTCAGTTCTAGTTCAGTTCTAGTTCAGTTCTAGTTCAGTTCTAGTTCAGTTCTAGTTCAGTTCTAGTCAGTTCTAGTTCAGTTCAAGTTCAGTATTAATTCTAGTTCAATTCTATTTATAATTTCTGGTTATTGAACTTAAAAACTTGAATTTTTGCATCACGATATGTTACAAAAGGTATAACGAAATGAGTATAACTCCTGTTCATTGAATTTTTATTTTTTTGTATTTATAATACAAAATAAATATTAATAATAATATCTACCATCAATAAAATTTTCGCTGTAAATATGTATATACATATTTAAGATAAAGGTTTCTTACTTATCTGTATTTTTACGAACAAATACACACGTACTAGTTACTATTATTAAAATTTTATATTCTCGGTCTTTGACCATGTAGACAATATTTAAACCCTATATAGAGAGTTTACTTACTTTTGAAACTAAAAATCTTAAATTCCAAAAATTTCATACAAATGAGTTATCGAAACTGACATATTTATGTACATATGTATGTATGTAAATTAGTCATGATAATTTTAGATAAATTAGTCAGTTTGAAAATGCATAAGAGAACTATACTTAAATATAGCCTATAACTGCTATAAGCATAAAACACTTTATTACTTGAGTGGGTTTTAGAGGACTTACAACTGCCTTTACAACATTTTATACAAAAGATAAATAACACTATAATTATTTTATACTATTTGTCCATATTTTATTTACATTTTAAGCAAGAATTAATTTAAAATAATATTATTAATCGTAAAATACTTTAAAGTCAGTTCTTAATTAGGTGAATATCATTATTAATGAACAAATTATTAAAGGCTTTTTAAATTACTTAAGATATTAAAAATAAATATACATAAGTATAATAATTAAAAATTAAATAGACAATACTAAAGACATTGCGATAAAAAACAATAACAAAAAATGTACGTTAAGTACTACTAACTTAAGTAACTGATAAAAGGTGTAATACTATGACAACCAAAGAAAAACTGTGACAGATTGCCTATAAGCTCAACGGAGATTAGACAGAATTTTAGAAATTTTAAAGCGTTTGTTACGTATTCAAAAATTAAACATTTTAGGCCAAATTTAGTCTATAGTCTAGTCTATAGTCTAGTCTATAGTATAGTCTATAGTCTAGTCTATAGTCTAGTCTATATTCTAGTCTATAGTCTAGTCTATAGTCTACTCTATAGTCTAGTCTATAGTCTACTCTATAGTCTAGTCTATAGTCTACTCTATAGTCTAGTCTATAGTCTACTCTATAGTCTAGTCTATAGTCTAGTCTATAGTCTAGTCTATAGTCTAGTCTATAGTCTAGTCTATAGTCTAGTCTACAGTCTAGTCTACAGTCTAGTCTATAGTCTAGTCTATAGTCTAGTCTATAGTCTAGTCTATAGTCTAGTCTATAGTCTAGTCTATAGTCTAGTCTATAGTCTAGTCTATAGTCTAGTCTACAGTCTAGTCTATATTCTAGTCTATAGTCTACTCTATAGTCTAGTCTATAGTCTACTCTATAGTCTAGTCTATAGTCTAGTCTATAGTCTAGTCTATAGTCTAGTCTATAGTCTAGTCTATAGTCTAGTCTATAGTCTAGTCTATAGTCTAGTCTATAGTCTAGTCTATAGTCTAGTCTATAGTCTAGTCTATAGTCTAGTCTATAGTCTAGTCTATAGTCTAGTCTATAGTCTAGTCTATAGTCTAGTCTATAGTCTAGTCTATAGTCTAGTCTATAGTCTAGTCTATAGTCTAGTCTATAGTCTAGTCTATAGTCTAGTCTATAGTCTAGTCTATAGTCTAGTCTATAGTCTAGTCTATAGTCTAGTCTATAGTCTAGTCTATAGTCTAGTCTATAGTCTAGTCTATAGTCTAGTCTATAGTCTAGTCTATAGTCTAGTCTATAGTCTAGTCTATAGTCTAGTCTATAGTCTAGTCTATAGTCTAGTCTATAGTCTAGTCTATAGTCTAGTCTATAGTCTAGTCTATAGTCTAGTCTATAGTCTAGTCTATAGTCTAGTCTATAGTCTAGTCTATAGTCTAGTCTATAGTCTAGTCTATAGTCTAGTCTATAGTCTAGTCTATAGTCTAGTCTATAGTCTAGTCTATAGTCTAGTCTATAGTCTAGTCTATAGTCTGGTCTATAGTCTAGTCTATAGTCTGGTCTATAGTCTAGTCTATAGTCTGGTCTATAGTCCAGTCTATAGTCTGGTCTATAGTCCAGTCTATAGTCTGGTCTATAGTCCAGTCTATAGTCTGGTCTATAGTCCAGTCTATAGTCTGGTCTATAGTCCAGTCTATATTCTAGTCTATAGTCTGGTCTATAGTCCAGTATACAGTCTAGTCTATAGTCTAGTCTATACTCTAATCTATAGTCTAGACTATAGTTTAATCTGAAGTCTAGTCTATTATCTAGTATAAAGCCTAGTCTATAGTCTCGTCTATAGTTATATTTAGTTTTATATAAAACTGTTAGGCTTTTTCTAATTAATATTTGATATTTTTCAATTTCTTTCTCCTAGACACCAATGGCAACATTGTAAGAGGTTGCAAAACAGACGATGAAGCAAAAACATGCACATCCGATAATAATTGCATTCTGACTGATGATGGAAAAAACAATCAACTTATTTGCAAAAAATGTGATGCTACCGATGAAAAGTGTTCTCAAACCGATATGAATGTTAACGATCTGAAATACAATCAAATCTGTGGTGAGGGCGTTAAGAAATGTATCAAGAAAATCGATAACAAACTTGTCGTTAGAGGTTGTGCCACTGAGAGTGATAGTAGTCAATGCACCGATCCTAAAATCTGTGAAACATGTGACAGTGTGATGTGTAACACTGGAATATTCCCCAAAGAACGCATACGTTGCCATCAATGTACTGGCAGTAGCTGTGTAGATGTTGCAGCAAATAATTTAGCTGCCAAACCATGTGCAAATTACGAAGAAAAGGATCAATGTTATACCAAGGCCAAGAGTGACACTGACATGACACGTGGTTGCAAGTCCGATACTAAGGATAATCAATGTACTGACACTGCTGAAGGTTGTGCCTTTTGCTCCAGCGATAATTGCAATAATTTAAAGTATAAATATGATCAAGTGCTCAAGTGTCATCAGTGTAGTGCTGACGATGCAACTAACGAATGTTTCAAAGAACAAACTGCCACGGAATTGAAGAATTGTGAAAAACAACTTCTTTACAATGAAGCCGAATATTGTTATACCCAAATCAGTGGTGATAAAATTCAACGTGGTTGTCTACATGATAATGCAGATCTTACCGTTGACAAATGTACAGATAGCAACAACTGCAAGAAATGCAACAGTTCCAATGGTTGCAATAATAGCCAAGAGAAAGCACCAGAGTTCACTTGTATCGTGTGTCGCAGTGATTTGAATGAAAAGTGTTGGAATGATGCAACAAGTGTACCGGAACAAAAGTGTCGTGTTAACCCTAGTTCTGCCAAGAAGGTTGTTTTCATGGTATTTGGAGTAAGTATTGAATTATTGTACTTATAGGATTCCTAAGTATTAATTATAATATATCTCCCTTTAACAGACGGTGTTGCTATTCGTGGTTGTATGGTCGATGCCAGTTTACAAAATCAGGCAATCTGTAAAGATGAAAAGAATCTTCAATGTAATGCTTGTTATAAGAAGAACTGCAATACGTTGAAGTCATCTGGTAATAAAATCGGTTTACAATTTGCTGTATTGCTAATTGTTTTGACTACATTGTGGAACTTGAAATAAAATCCCTACAAATATTTTATATGTTTTCACGTTTTTTTTTTTATATTTTATCACTATTTGTTTAATTATAATTTACTAGTATTTTCAGAAATAAATATATAAGTACAATCGAGACATTATATTCAAAAATGCTAACTCAAAAAACTCTAGTTTTTAGAAGAGTAAAATATTTGCGTACTGTTGAACAAATTAATGATTTACTTTCCATGCTACTAATGTATAATTTATTGAGTTATCACTTTTTGAATATATGCTTACAAAATGTGTTTGTATATGTTTCGTTTCAAATAAAATGTATTATAATTTCCTGAGTCCTAGTGTCAAATAAAAACCGATTCACTCAAAAATTTTGTAAGTGGAATGTAGCTTAGTCTAAAGAATGAAGTATTGTCAATAATCAGAAACATGCTATAGTCTATTTATATTATATATATGTATATATATATATGTTAGAGTCCTCAAATTTTGTCGGAGCCACTTTACTGTTAATATGATTATTTAGGAAAAATGTAGGCGGACTAGCATTAGGGGGCGTGGCACCTCCCATATAATTTAAATACAAAAATATGTATCTGAACATTTTTAGAGGAAAATGAGCGTGCTTTCATCTGGCGGACTTGAAGTCCCCATATGAATTAAATAGAAATATTCGTATATCTGAGAAACTATTAGAGCTAGAATCTTTAAATTTTACTTGAAAAACTTTGACATTCATCTAAATATTAACCCCCTTATTCACAAACAAATTTTTTACTTTATAAACGGTTTATAAATTAGATTTTGTATGGAAAAACCTTTTATAAAATAAAAATGTTGTTTGTGAATAAGGGGGTTAGAGTAAACGGGCGGACTTTCAATGGGGGACTTGGCACCTCCCACATGATTTAAATATAAAATTTAATTTATCTGGGAAACCAATACAACTTGATACTTCAAATTTCGCAAAAATTACTTTAATATTCATCTATAGTTTAGTCTATAGTCTAGTCTATAGTCTAGTCTATAGTCTAGTCTATAGTCTAGTCTATAGTCTAGTCTATAGTCTAGTCTATAGTCTAGTCTATAGTCTAGTCTATAGTCTAGTCTATAGTCTAGTCTATAGTCTAGTCTATAGTCTAGTCTATAGTCTAGTCTATAGTCTAGTCTATAGTCTAGTCTATAGTCTAGTCTATAGTCTAGTCTATAGTCTAGTCTATAGTCTAGTCTATAGTCTAGTCTATAGTCTAGTCTATAGTCTAGTCTATAGTCTAGTCTATAGTCTAGTCTATAGTCTAGTCTATAGTCTAGTCTATAGTCTAGTCTATAGTCTAGTCTATATCTAGTCTAGTCTAGTCTATAGTCTAGTCTATAGTCTAGTCTATAGTCTAGTCTATAGTCTAGTCTATAGTCTAGTCTATAGTCTAGTCTATAGTCTAGTCTATAGTCTAGTCTATAGTCTAGTCTATAGTCTAGTCTATAGTCTAGTCTTAGTCTAGTCTATAGTCTAGTCTATAGTCTAATCTATACTCTAGTTATAGTCTAGTCTATAGTCTAGTCTATAGTCTAGTCTATAGTCTAGTCTATAGTCTTAGTCTATAGTCTAGTCTATTAGTCTAGTCTATAGTCTAGTCTATAGTCTAGTCTATAGTCTAGTCTATAGTCTAGTCTATAGTCTAGTCTATAGTCTAGTCTAGTCTATAGTCTAGTCTATAGTCTAGTCTATAGTCTAGTCTATAGTCTAGTCTATAGTCTAGTCTATAGTCTAGTCTATAGTCTAGTCTATAGTCTAGTCTATAGTCTAGTCTATAGTCTAGTCTATAGTCTAGTCTATAGTCTAGTCTATAGTCTAGTCTATTGTCTAGTCTATAGTCTAGTCTATAGTCTAGTCTATAGTCTAGTCTATTGTCTAGTCTATAGTCTAGTCTATTGTCTAGTCTATAGTCTAGTCTATAGTCTAGTCTATAGTCTAGTCTATAGTCTAGTCTATAGTCTAGTCTAGTCTAGTCTAGTCTATAGTCTATAGTCTAGTCTAGTCTATAGTCTAGTCTATAGTCTAGTCTATAGTCTAGTCTATAGTCTAGTCTATAGTCTAGTCTATAGTCTAGTCTATAGTCTAGTCTATAGTCTAGTCTATAGTCTAGTCTATAGTCTAGTCTATAGTCTAGTCTATAGTCTAGTCTATAGTCTAGTCTATAGTCTAGTCTATAGTCTAGTACTATAGTCTAGTCTATAGTCTAGTCTATAGTCTAGTCTATAGTCTAGTCTATAGTCTAGTCTATAGTCTAGTCTATAGTCTAGTCTATAGTCTAGTCTAGTCTAGTCTATAGTCTAGTCTGTCTAGTCTATAGTCTAGTCTATAGTCTAGTCTATAGTCTAGTCTATAGTCTAGTCTATAGTCTAGTCTATAGTCTAGTCTATAGTCTAGTCTATAGTCTAGTCTATAGTCTAGGTCTATAGTCTAGTCAATAGTCTAGTCTAGTCTAGTCTATAGTCTAGTCTATAGTCTAGTCTATGTAGTTCTATAGTCTAGTTCTAGTGACCTATCTATAGTCTAGTCTATAGTCTAGTCTATAGTCTAGTCTATAGTCCTAGTTCTATAGTCCTAGTCTCATCAGTCTAGTCTAGCTAGTCTAAGTCTCGTCTATAGTCTACGTCTATAGTCTAGTCTATAGTCTAGTCTATAGTCTAGTCTTATTAGTATATAGTCTAGTCTATAGTCTAGTCTATAGTCTAGTCTATAGTCTAGTCTATAGTCTAGTCTATAGTCTAGTCTATAGTCTAGTCCTATAGTCTAGTCTATAGTCTAGTCTATAGTCTAGTCTATAGTCTAGTCTATAGTCTAGTCTATAGTCTAGTCTATAGTCTAGTCTATAGTCTAGTCTATAGTCTAGTCTATAGTCTAGTCTATAGTCTAGTTCTATAGTCTAGTCTATAGTCTAGTCTATAGTCTAGTCTATAGTCTAGTCTATAGTCTAGTCTATAGTCTAGTCTATAGTCTAGTCTATAGTCTAGTCTATAGTCCTAGTCTATAGTCTAGTCTATAGTTAGTCTATAGTCTAGTCTATAGTCTAGTCTATAGTCTAGTCTATAGTCTAGTCTATAGTCTAGTCTATAGTCTAGTCTATAGTCTAGTCTATAGTCTAGTCTATAGGTCTAGTCTATAGTCTAGTCTATAGTCTAGTCTATAGTCTAGTCTATAGTCTAGTCTATAGTCTAGTCTATAGTTAGTCTATAGTCTAGTCTATAGTCTAGTCTATAGTCTAGTCTATAGTCTAGTCTATAGTCTAGTCTATAGTCTAGTGTATAGTCTAGTCTATAGTCTAGTCTATAGTCTAGTCTATAGTCTAGTCTATAGTCTAGTCTATAGTCTAGTCTATAGTCTAGTCTATAGTCTAGTCTATCTATAGTCTAGTCTATAGTCTAGTCTAGTCTAGTCTATAGTCTATAGTCTATAGTCTAGTCTATAGTCTAGTCTATAGTCTAGTCTATAGTCTAGTCTATAGTCTAGTCTATAGTCTAGTCTATATAGTCTAGTCTATAGTCTAGTCTATAGTCTAGTCTATAGTCTAGTCTATAGTCTAGTCTATAGTCTAGTCTATAGTCTAGTCTATAGTCTAGTCTATAGTCTAGTCTATAGTCTAGTCTATAGTCTAGTCTATAGTCTAGTCTATAGTCTAGTCTATAGTCTAATAGTCTAGTCTATAGTCTAGTCTATAGTCTAGTCTATAGTCTAGTCTATAGTCTAGTCTATAGTCTAGTCTATAGTCTAGTCTATAGTCTAGTCTATAGTCTAGTCTATAGTCTAGTCTATAGTCTAGTCTATAGTCTAGTCTATAGTCTAGTCTATAGTCTAGTCTATAGTACGGTCTATAGTCTAGTCTATAGTACGGTCTATAGTCTAGTCTATAGTACGGTCTATAGTCTAGTCTATAGTCTAGTCTATAGTCTAGTCTATAGTCTAGTCTATAGTCTAGTCTATAGTCTAGTCTATAGTCTAGTCTATAGTCTAGTCTATAGTCTAGTCTATAGTCTAGTCTATAGTCTAGTCTATAGTCTAGTCTATAGTCTAGTCTATAGTCTAGTCTATAGTCTAGTCTATAGTCTAGTCTATAGTCTAGTCTATAGTCTAGTCTATAGTCTAGTCTATAGTCTAGTCTATAGTCTAGTCTATAGTGTAGTCTATAGTCTAGTCTATAGTCTAGTCTATAGTCTAGATAATAGTCTAGTCTATAGTCTAGTCTATAGTCTAGTCTATAGTCTAGTCTATAGTCTAGTCTATAGTCTAGTCTATAGTCTAGTCTATAGTCCAGTCTATAGTCTAGTCTATAGTCTAGTCTATAGTCTAGTCTATAGTCTAGTCTATAGTCTAGTCTATCAGTCTAGTCTATTAGGTCTAGTCTATAGTCTAGTCTATAGTCTAGTCTATAGTCTAGTCTATAGTCTAGTCTATAGTCTAGTCTATAGTCTAGGTCTATAGTCTAGTCTATAGTCCTAGTCTATAGTCTAGTCTATAGTCTAGTCTATAGTCTAGTCTATAGTCTAGTCTATAGTCTAGTCTATAGTCTATAGTCTAGGCTATAATCTAGGCTATAGTCTAGTCTATGGTCTATTCTATAGTCTAGTCTATAGTCTAGTCTAGTCTAGTCTATATATAGATTAATCGACTACACTAACTATAAAAGGCCAGAAGAAGTCCCTAGGAACAATCTGTTTATGAATCTCAAGTAGGAATACCTCTCAATCTATGCGTATCAATGTACTGAACATGAGACAAATAAAAATTGAATGGGCGAGTGAAATGGCGAGTGAAAATCATAGCCTTATATTTTGTAAAAAATATCTCCAAATTTTTTTAAATGGACCCCAAAAATTACCAAATAAATTACCGTCCACGTCACACCCTAATATATATACTTTATAAGGTGGGAAAACTATATTGTATCAATCACAAATATATATTTTTGTAATTAAAGTGTATCCAATTAAAAATTTAACATAATAAACTTTGCAGCTGTAACCCAGCTTAAACTTACATTGAGTTGATATGCCAATAAGATTTCTAGTCATTATTTTAGCACCAAGCACACTTACAAAGAAATACTTACTTTAGTCATTACAAATGGGTACTTTGGAAGTAGTTTTATTTTAGGTGCAAAATAAAATCCGACCCATAATGCGAATTTGGTATTTTCAAAAGTAATGTAAAGTAAGTTGTTGCTTAAGTAAAAATCATTATAAAGTTTATCTTGACTAATTATTACTACTAATTAGTCAAAATAAAGGATTCAGCTGTTTTCGTACAGATTGAAATTTGTTTCGATAATAATCAAAAATGGTTTGTGCTAAATGCTATCAGTCACCAATAAAAACTGAAAGTGTTAACAACGTTGTTTTAAGCAGTAAAATAAACAGAATTAAAAATTTAAAACTCTAGAAATGGGAAGGAAAAAAACCATGTTGCTTTCATATGGAAAATATTCAAAATATATTTGTTTAATTGTAATAGTTTTGGAGCAGTTGGCGTTAACAACTGTAGCTGGTAAGTTTTATTCATAGGACTTAAAAGTTGGTGAAGCGCCTTGAAATACCTAATTATCGAGAGATAATTATCTTTTTTTCTTCTTTAGGTATTAAATGTATACAGTGTGGAGACAGTGAAGAGACTTGTAGTACAACTCTTTGGGAAGATGCTAAAGTATGTCCCAATAAAGATCAAACCAAATGCTTTACACAAATTGGCAAGTATGAGTTTTGTGTTTAAAATCCTGTTTAGAAAAGTAATTTTTCATAAAGACTAAACAGGTATTTAGGTTCTAGTCTGTGGTGTAGTCCACAGTCTGGATTATATTTTGAACTATAATCTATAGCATGGATTATAATAGCGTCTATTGTCTAATGTCTAGTTCTATAGCCTGAACTATAGCAACGTCTATTGTGTGAACTATAGACTAGTCTATATACTAGACTAGTCTTTCTTATGAACTGTATATTGTATAGAATATTGTATAGAATATAATAATGGAGTCATTAGTCACTACTATAGTCAGGACTATTGTCTAGTTTATAGTCTGTATCTCTATTATCTAGACTATTGTTTTGGCAATAGACTACTCTATAATCTGGGCGATAGTGTAGTCTATAATCCGAACTATATTGAAGTATTTTGTTTGGACTACAGTCTAATCTATATTCTGGAATATTGTTTAGTCTAGACTAGATTATATTAAAGTCTTTAGTCAGGATTATAGTCTATAGTCAGCACTATAATCTAGTATATAGGATGTATTCTGAACTATAGGATATAGTCAAGATTAAAGACTTAATATAGTCCACACTAGAGACTAGACTATAGACTAAATAAAGATCTGTACTTATGAACTGTACTATATATTGTATAAAATATAATATTGGAGTCATTAGTCACTACTATAGTCAGGACTATTGTCTAGTTTATAGTCTGTAGTCTACTCTATTATCTAGACTATTGTTTTGGCAATAGACTACTCTATAATCTGGGCGATAGTGTAGTCTATAATCCGAACTATATTGAAGTATTTTGTTTGGACTACAGTCTAGCCTATATTCTGGAATATTGTTTAGTCTAGACTAGATTATATTAAAGTCTTTAGGCAGGATTATAGTCTATAGTCAGCACTATAATCTAGTATATAGGATGTATTCTGAACTATAGGATATAGTCCAGATTAAAGACTTTAATATAGTCCACACTAGATACTGGACTATAGACTAAATAAAGATCTGTACTTATGAACTGTACTATATATTGTATAGAATATAATAATGGAGTCATTAGTCACTACTATAGTCAGGACTATTGTCTAGTTTATAGTCTGTATCTCTATTATCTAGACTATTGTTTTGGCAATGGACTACTCTATAATCTGGGCGATAGTGTAGTCTATAATCCGAACTATATTGAAGTATTTTGTTTGGACTACAGTCTAATCTATATTCTGGAATATTGTTTAGTCTAGACTAGATTATATTAAAGTCTTTAGTCAGGATTATAGTCTATAGTCAGCACTATAATCTAGTATATAGGATGTATTCTGAACTATAGGATATAGTCAAGATTAAAGACTTTAATATAGTCCACACTAGATACTGGACTATAGACTAAATAAAGATCTGTACTAAAGTTTTCAATTTAGTCCAGAATATAGTCTAGAACTGCCGGGTATATTATATAGTGTATAGTCTTGAAGTCTTTAGTCACGACTATTGTCTAGTCTATAATCTGGACTAAAATCTATAGTCTGGACAATAGTCTTAGTGTAAATTATGTTAAAGTTTTCAGTCAGAATTATAGTCTAGTCTTAAGTCCGGGAAATAGTCTCGTCTATAGTCTAAACTATTATATAGTCTATAGTTTAGACTAGTCTGTGTCAAAGTCTAGTCAAGAGTCTGCTCAAATCTAAAATTAAAATGTAATTGTTAAATCCATTTATTTAAAATTTCTATATTACTCCTAGACACCAGTGGCATCATTACAAGAGGCTGCAAAACAGACGCTGAAGCCAAAGCATGTACAGCTGATAATAATTGTATTATCACAGGCGAGAGAAAAAATAATCAACTTATATGCAAAAAATGTATTGCAACCGATGAAAAGTGCTCTCAAACCGACATGAATATTAACGATCTGGAATACAATCACATCTGCGTCGAAGGCGTTAGAAGATGTATTAAGAAAGTCGTTAACAAACTTGTCGTTAGAGATTGTGCCACTGAGAATGATATCCAACAATGTACCGATTCTAAAACCTGTGAAACATGTGACAGCATTAACTGCAATACTGGAGTATTCCCCAAGGGTCGCATCACTTGCTACCAATGTACTGGTAGCAGCTGCGAAGATATTACCGCAAATAATATAGTTGACAAAGTCTGTGCGAATTACGAAGAAAATGATCAATGCTATATGAAAGCGAAGAACGAAAACGACATGACACGTGGTTGCAAGTCCGATACTAGGGATAATGAATGTTTAGACGCTGCTGAAGGTTGTGTCTTTTGCTCCAACAATAACTGTAATAATTTAAAGTATATATATGATCAAGTACTCAAGTGTCATCAGTGCACCAGTGATGTTCCTACTAATAAATGTTTTGATAAACAAACTAGTAAAGTGTTTTGAGAAATGTAAGAGACAAATTCGTTATACTTTTCCCGAATATTGTTATACCCAAATCAATGGTAATACCATTAAACGTGGTTGTCTTCATGATAATTTGGACCTAACAGTTGACATATGCAAAGATGCTGATAGTGATACCTGCACGAAATGCAATAATGGCGATGGTTGTAATAATAGGCAACAAATATTAGATTAAAAAAACAAATATTAAAAAAAACAATCTATAGTCTAAACTATATTCTGGACTATAGTTTAGTATATAGCCTGGATTATAGTCCAGTTTTAAAAATATGTACATATATAAAAGTCATTATTACAATAAGAAAAGTAATACAGACGGTATATAGTGATCATTAAAAAATACGTTTTGTGTAAGTACAAGTCTTTATGAAGTTTTATTTGGGTAATCGAGGTAAATAGACTGATATTTTCAATAACTATAAAAATGCTTTGTGATACACGAAATAACTTCTTTACGGTTAAATCAATACAAAACAAATATCAATCAGTCACCTATAAAAACTAAAGACGTGAACAACGTTATTTTAAGCGGTAAAATAAAAAATAGTTCCATAGTTTCCTCCTAAAAACGGGAATGAAAAACCATGATATTTTCAAGTGGAAAATATACAAAATATATTTGTTTAATTGTAATAGTTTTAATACAGTTAGCGTTAACATACTGTAGCTGGTAAGTTTTATTTAGTAGAAGTACAATTTCGAGAAATTTTTTTTTGAGGAAAATATACTCTACTATAAAATGACCTTGAAATATATACGGATGAGTACGTATTTTTATATAAATATGTATAACAAATCAGTTTTCCTATATATGTATATTTTTTTCAGGGAATTAAATGTATACAATGTGGTGGCAGTGAAGATACTTGTAGTACAACTACTTTGGGAAGATGCTAAAGTCTGTCCCAATAAAGACCAAACCAATGCTTACTTACACAAATTGGTTAGTATTAGTTTTGTGGTCAAAAACTTGATAACATAATATTAAGTATGTGGAGCCCAAAGTATATATAAAATTGGACATTTTGGTACTTTTTCGTTCTTTAACTGGTACTTTTTGAGTTTTCTATAATATTGAACCTATAAACATAAATTAAACTAGTAGAGTCCGAACTTTTTGGTACTTTTTCGTTCTTCACAAGGTACACTTTGATTTCTCTATAATATTGAATCTAGAACTGAATTAGAACTGAACTAAAACTGAATTAGAACTAAACTAGAACTGAAACTAGAACTGAACTAGAACTAGAACTAGAACTGAACTAGAACTGACTGAACTAGAACTGAACTAGAACTGAACTAGAACTGAACTAGAACTGAACTAGAACTGAACTAGAACTGAACTAGAACTGAACTAGAACTGAACTGAACTGAACTAGAACTGAACTAGAACTGAACTAGAACTGAACTAGAACTGAACTAGAACTGAACTAGAACTGAACTAGAACTGAACTAGAACTGAACTAGAACTGAACTAGAACTGAACTAGAACTGAACTAGAACTGAACTAGAACTGAACTAGAACTGAACTAGAACTGAACTAGAACTGAACTAGAACTGAACTAGAACTGAACTAGAACTGAACTAGAACTGAACTAGAACTGAACTAGAACTGAACTAGAACTGAACTAGAACTGAACTAGAACTGAACTAGAACTGAACTAGAACTGAACTAGAACTGAACTAGAACTGAACTAGAACTGAACTAGAACTGAACTAGAACTGAACTAGAACTGAACTAGAACTGAACTAGAACTGAACTAGAACTGAACTAGAACTGAACTAGAACTGAACTAGAACTGAACTAGAACTGAACTAGAACTGAACTAGAACTGAACTAGAACTGAACTAGAACTGAACTAGAACTGAACTAGAACTGAACTAGAACTGAACTAGAACTGAACTAGAACTGAACTAGAACTGAACTAGAACTGAACTAGAACTGAACTAGAACTGAACTAGAACTGAACTAGAACTGAACTAGAACTGAACTAGAACTGAACTAGAACTGAACTAGAACTGAACTAGAACTGAACTAGAACTGAACTAGAACTGAACTAGAACTGACCTAGAACTGAACTAGAACTGAACTAGAACTGAACTAGAACTGAACTGAACTAGAACTGCAACTAGAACTGAACTAGAACTGAACTAGAACTGAACTAGAACTGAACTAGAACTGAACTAGAAGTGAACTAGGACTGAACTAGAACTGACTATAGATAATAGACTAGACTATAGACTTTACTATAGACTAGACTATAGTCCGGACTATACACTAGAATAGTTTAGTCTATAGAGAAGAATAGTCTAGTTTATAGTCTGGACTGTATTCTAGTCTACAGTCCTCACTATAGTCTATAAATATTTAATAACAATTTTCAAATCTAAAAATAATATGTCCTCCCTATAGGCATAATTAGTTACTTAAATCGACTGTTAAATCTAAAAATTGTTTGTTTCTCCTAGACACTAGTGGCAACATTACAAGAGGTTGCAAAACAGACGATGAAGCCAAAAACATGTACAGCCGATAATAATTGCATTATCGCAGCCGAGAGAAAAAATAATCAACTTATTTGCAACGATGTGATGCAACCGACGAAAAGTGCTCACAAACCGATATGAATATTAACGATCAGAAATACAATCATATCTGCGTCGAGGGCGTTAGTAGATGTTTCAAAAAAGTCGTTAACAAATTGGTAGTAAGAGGTTGCGCCTCTAAGAGTGATATCCAACAATGTTCCAATTCCAAAACGTGTGAAACATGTGATAGCGTTAACTGCCAATACTGGAATATTCCCCAAGGGTCGAATCACTTGCTACCAATGTACTGGTAGCAGCTGCGAAGATGTTACAGCAAATAATATAGTTTACAAAGTCTGTGCGAATTACGAAGAGAACGATCAATGCTATACCGTGGCTAAGAGTGAGATCGACATGACGCGTGGATGCAAGTCCGATACTAGGGATAATGAATGTTTGGACGCTGCTGAAGGTTGTGTGTTTTGTTCCAACAATAACTGTAATAATTTAAAGTATATATATGATCAAGTGCTTAAGTGTCATCAGTGCACAAGTGATGATATAACTAGCGAATGTTTTGATAAACAAACTAGTAAAGTGTTTGAGAAATGTAAGAGACAAATTCGTTACAATTTTCCCGAATATTGTTATACCCAAATCAATGGTAATACCATTAAACGTGGTTGCCTTCATGATAATTTGGACCTAACTCTTGACTTATGCCAAGATATCGATAGTGATACCTGCTCGAAATGCAACAATCGCGATGGTTGCAATAGTGAGAAGGAAACATTAGATTTCACTTGTATCGTATGTCGCAGTGATGAGAATTTCAAGTGTTGGGATGAGGCAATACCTTTAAGGGAAAACATTGTCGTGTTAGCCCTAGTTCACCCAAAGAAGGTTGTTTTCATGGCATTTGGCGTAAGTATGGAATTATTGTTTTCCTTATTAATCGGTTTATATTAATTTATTGTTCTCTCCCTCTCTCTACGTTTAACAGACGGTGATGCTATTCGTGGTGTATAGTCGATGCCAGTACACAAAATCAAGGAATCTGTAAAAATGTAGAACTTAAACAGTGTAACGCTTGCTATAAAAAGGACTGTAATACGGCGAAATCATCAGATGCTTTTCCCCACTAAATAAAATTTATTATTTTATCTGTTCGCCACAATTATATTAATGACAAATTTGTTAATCTCTTAATTATAATTATGGAAAAAATATTTAAGAACAGCATTGTAGGACAATTTAAACTGTAGCATATTAGCATCGCTGGGTGCCATTTTATATTGCAATTATTTCATAGCATAAATTGCATAATTTCTCATTTGCTAGACAATATTAAGACCCTCTTCGGCCAATTCGTCCACACAGCCACGCATGGTTATATTTGTGTCAGCTGCAAAAAGAAATTTTATCATATTACTACTACAGTCTGGAGTGTAGTCGAATCTATGGTCTGGACTATAATCTAGTCTTTAGTTAACTTTATATTCTAGTCCATAGTTTAAACTATATTCTAATCAATAGCCTGGTATATAGACTAATCTACAGTCTGAACAATGGTCTAGACTATAAAATGGTTTATAGTCCGGCCTAATCGAAAGGCTGGGCTCTAGTCTAAAGTCTGTCTTATAGGTTAATCTATAGTCAGGACTATAGTTTGGGCTATAGTCTAGTCAATAGTCCAAAACATAGTCAGGATTATTGTCTAGTCTATAGTCCGGACTATAGTCTAGTCTATAGTCTGGACTATAGTCTAGTCTATAGTCTGTACTATAGTCTAGTCTATAGTCTAGTCTATAGTCTGTACTATAGTCTAGTCTATAGTCTAGTCTATAGTCTGGACTATAGTCTAGTCTATAGTCTAGTCTATAGTCTGGACTATAGTCTAGTCTATAGTCTAGACTATAGTCTGGACTATAGTCTAGTCTATAGTCTGGACTATAGTCTGGACTATAGTCTAGTCTATAGTCTGGACTATAGTCTGGACTATAGTCTAGTCTATAGTCTAGTCTATAGTCTAGGACTATAGTCTGGACTATAGTCTAGTCTATAGTCTGGACTATAGTCTGGACTATAGTCTATAGTCTGGACTATAGTCCTAGTTATAGTCTGGACTATAGTCTAGTTATAGTCTGGACTATAGTCTAGTCTATAGTCTAGACTATAGTTTGGACTATAGTCTAGTCTATAGTTTGGACTATAGTCTGGGCTATAGTCTAGTCTATAGTCTGGACTATAGTCTAGTCTATAGTCCGGACTATAGTCTAGTCTATAGTCTGGACTATAGTCTAGTCTATAGTCTGGACTATAGTCTGGACTATAGTCTAGACTATAGTCTGGACTATAGTCTAGACTATAGTCTGGACTATAGTCTAGTCTATAGTCTGGACTATAGACTAGTCTATAGTCTGGACTATAGTCTAGTCTATAGTCTGGACTATAGTCTGTACTATAGTCTAGTCTATAGTCTAGTCTATATTCTGTACTATAGTCTAGTCTAGTCTATAGTCTGTACTATACTATGGTCTAGTCTATAGTCTGGACTATAGTCTAGTCTATAGTCTGGACTATAGTCTAGTCTATAGTCTGTACTATAGTCTAGTCTATAGTCTAGTCTATATTCTGTACTATAGTCTAGTCTAGTCTATAGTCTGTACTATACTATGGTCTAGTCTATAGTCAGGACTATAGTCTAGTCTATAGTCTGGACTATAGTCTAGTCTATAGTCTGGACTATAGTCTAGTCTATAGTCTAGACTATAGTCTAGTCTATAGTCTAGACTATAGTCTGGACTATAGTCTAGTCTATAGTCTGGACTATAGTCTGGACTATAGTCAAGTCTATAGTCTGGACTATAGTCAAGTCTATAGTCTGGACTATAGTCAAGTCTATAGTCTGGACTATAGTCAAGTCTATAGTCTGGACTATAGTCAAGTCTATAGTCTGGACTATAGTCAAGTCTATAGTCTGGACTATAGTCAAGTCTATAGTCTGGACTCTAGTCAAGTCTATAGTCTGGACTATAGTCAAGTCTATAGTCTGGACTATAGTCAAGTCTATAGTCTGGACTATAGTCAAGTCTATAGTCTGGACTATAGCTATAGTCTGGACTATAGTCAAGTCTATAGTCTGGACTATAGTCAAGTCTATAGTCTGGACTATAGTCTAGACTACAGACTATAGTCGGGACTAGACTCGACTATAGTCTATAGTCTGGACTACAATCCAATCTATAGGCTGAGCTAACGTCTAATCTATAGTCTATAGACCAATCGAAAGGCTGGGCTATAGTCTAGTCTAAAGTCTTTCTTATAGGTTAATCTATAGTCAGGACTATAATCTAGCTATAGTCTTGGCTATAGTGTAGTATATAGTCCAAAACATAGTCTGGAATATTGTCTAGTCTATAGTCTAGACTATAGTCGGGACTAGACTGGACTATAGTCTGGACTACAATCCAATATATGAGCTAACGTCTAATCTACAGACTATAGACTAATCGAAAGTGTGGGCTATAGTCTAAAGTCTATGGACTATATCCCAGACTATAGTCTAGCCTATAGTCTGGGATATAGTCCAGTCTATAGTCCAACACATAGTCTGGATTATTGTCTATTCTATAGTCTAGACTATAGTCGGGACTAGACTGGACTATAGACCAGTCTATAGTCTGGACTACAATCCAATATATAGTCAAGTATAGTCTAGTTTATAGTTTGGACTATAGTCTGGACTAAAGTCTATGCAATATCCTTGACTATAGTCCAGACCTTTAATTCTTTTTTGGCTTACCTTTATATAGCGTATAACAACCATTATGCTTTCCTGAATCACCATCGCTAACTTTCGGACATGAAGCTTGACGTGTTGCTTTCATATTACATTTTAAATCCTCAACACTAGTGCAAATAAAACAGGAAACTTGATGATCCTTACATCTTTAGTTGCAGCATCTTCAGCATGTGTTGCGGGCGATGCATTTTCTATATCTTTTTGATCTTCCTCCTCTTTGGCTGGTTCATCGTTAGGCATTTCAGAGTCTTCGTTAGCTGCATCAACAGTTTCGGTAGGATCTGCAGCTGCTACTTCTTCTGGTTCTGTTTCAGGTTGGGGTTCCGGTTCAGGTTCATCTGCTGATTCCGGAGCGTCCCCTGCTGCAGGTTCGGGTGGAGTTTCTTCTTCTTTTGGCTCTTCAGGTTCGCCTTCTGGTTCTGGAACTGTTTCCGCTTCAGTCTCTTCAACTGGCTCCGCTGCAGGCTCAGGTTCTGGCTCAGCTTCGGGTTCTGTTTCATCAGCTTGAGGTTCAGCTTCTGGTTCTGGTTCAGCTACAGGCTCGGCTTCTGGTTCAGCTTCAGGCTCAGCTCCTACTTCAGATTCTTCTCCTGTGCCTTCTTGAGCTTCGGCCTCAGCTTCCTCATCTTGGTTTTCTAAACGTGGCCCCAATTTATCATTAAATACCTCTATATCATTCGAAATACTCTGATAATTTGTATGTTCTTTAATGTCGTTATTATTTTTATCCACTGTCGGTTGCGTGAGTTCATTACCCACCGGTAAAGATTTAGATAGTTGTAGTACAATGGGAAGTGATGTTGAAGGCACTGTTAGAATTTCTTGTGAATCATCTGTAATTTGAACAAGAGTTCTATATTCGGCCGTACCGAATCTTATATACCCTTCACCATAGTGTGTTAAACAACAGTCAGTACGTATTTTATTTTCAAGAACGAAAAAGTACCAAAAAGTCACCTTTACAGGTTCTCATTTACTTTGGGCTCTTCATGCTTATTTTGATGAACGACAAAGTACCTAAAAGTACCCTTTTTATAGGTTCTCACTTACTCCAGGCTCTACATACTTAATTTCTTGTTTCTAGGTTCAGTATTATAGAAATTCAAAAAGTACCTTTTGATGAACGAAAAAGTACCTAGAAGTACCCTTTTATAAGTTTCTAGGTTCATTTTTATAGAAAATTAAAAAAGAAGCTTCTGAAGAACGATAAATCACCAAAAAGTTCCCTTTTATAGGCTTTCACTTACCACGGGCTCTACACACATAATTTCATGTTTCTAGACAATAACAATACACTGCTCATTCGTAAATAAATAGCGCTCACCCTGAAAGCATGTCTGATTGGAATTATTGAAAATTCGGTTCTGGGGTCTTCTGAAACTGATTTCAACATACACCAGGATAGACAGACATTTAAAAACAAACGTAATAAGATAGGGAATTGCGTAGACGTACAGACGGACATCGCTAAGCCGACTTCGATACCTATAACGAGTTACAAACTATATTTGTAACTTATGAGGTCACAAAATTATTCTTTAAAATATGAACAGAACAACAAACTCTATACAACCATTTCACGAAGGTGAAGGGTATAAAAGTAGATGAAATTGTTTTAAACATAAATATTAGAAGAAAGATATGTATAGTCTAGTCTATAATAAACTTTATAGTCTTGTCTATACTCTAGTCTAAGTCTAGTCTATAGTCTAGTCTATAGTCTTAGTCTATAGTCTAGTTCTATAGTCTAGGTCATAGTCTAGTCTAAGTCTAGTAGTCTAGTCTATAGTCTAGTCTATAGTCTAGTCTATAGTCTAGTCTATAGTCTAGTCTATAGTCTAGTCTATAGTCTAGTCTATAGTCTAGTCTATAGTCTAGTCTATAGTCTAGTCTATAGTCTAGTCTATAGTCTAGTCTATAGTCTAGTCTATAGTCTAGTCTATAGTCTAGTCTATAGTCTAGTCTATAGTCTAGTCTATAGTCTAGTCTATAGTCTAGTCTATAGTCTAGTCTATAGTCTAGTCTATAGTCTAGTCTATAGTCTAGTCTATAGTCTAGTCTATAGTCTAGTCTATAGTCTAGTCTATAGTCTAGTCTATAGTCTAGTCTATAGTCTAGTCTATAGTCTAGTCTATAGTCTAGTCTATAGTCTAGTCTATAGTCTAGTCTATAGTCTAGTCTATAGTCTAGTCTATAGTCTAGTCTATAGTCTAGTCTATAGTCTAGTCTATAGTCTAGTCTATAGTCTAGTCTATAGTCTAGTCTATAGTCTAGTCTATAGTCTAGTCTATAGTCTAGTCTATAGTCTAGTCTATAGTCTAGTCTATAGTCTAGTCTATAGTCTAGTCTATAGTCTAGTCTATAGTCTAGTCTATAGTCTAGTCTATAGTCTAGTCTATAGTCTAGTCTATAGTCTAGTCTATAGTCTAGTCTATAGTCTAGTCTATAGTCTAGTCTATAGTCTATCTATAGTCTAGTCTATAGTCTAGTCTATAGTCTAGTCTATAGTCTAGTCTATAGTCTAGTCTATAGTCTAGTCTATAGTCTAGTCTATAGTCTAGTCTATAGTCTAGTCTATAGTCTAGTCTATAGTCTAGTCTATAGTCTAGTCTATAGTCTAGTCTATAGTCTAGTCTATAGTCTAGTCTATAGTCTAGTCTATAGTCTAGTCTATAGTCTAGTCTATAGTCTAGTCTATAGTCTAGTCTATAGTCTAGTCTATAGTCTAGTCTATAGTCTAGTCTATAGTCTAGTCTATAGTCTAGTCTATAGTTTAGTCTATAGTCTAGTCATAGTCTAGTCTATAGTCTAGTCTATAGTCTGTCTATAGTCTAGTTTATAGTCTAGTCTATAGTCTAGTCTATAGTCTAGTCTATAGTCTAGTCTATAGTCTAGTCTATAGTCTAGTCTATAGTCTAGTCTATAGTCTAGTCTATAGTCTAGTCTATAGTCTAGTCTATAGTCTAGTCTATAGTCTAGTCTATAGTCTAGTCTATAGTCTAGTCTATAGTCTAGTCTATAGTCTAGTCTATAGGCTAAGTCTATAGTCTAGTCTATAGTCTAGTCTATAGTCTAGTCTATAGTCTAGTCTAAAGTCTAGTCTAGTCTATAGTCTAGTCTATAGTCTAGTCTAAAGTCTAGTCTAGTCTAAAGTCTAGTCTAGTCTAAAGTCTAGTCTAGTCTAGTAGTCTAGTCTATAGTCTAGTCTAAAGTCTAGTCTAGTCTATAGTCTAGTCTATTCTATAGTCTAGCTATAGTCTAGTTCTTTATTCTATAGTCTAGTTCATAGTCTGTCTATAGTCTAGTTAGTCTAGTCTATAGTCTAGTCTATAGTCTAGTCTATAGTCTAGTCTATAGTCTAGTCTATAGTCTAGTCTATAGTCTAGTCTATAGTCTAGTCTTATCTAGTCTAGTCAGTCTATTGTCTAGTCTATAGTATAGTTCTATAGTCTAGTCTATAGTCTAGTCTATAGTCTAGTCTAGTTAGGTCTATAGTCTAGCTATTGTCTAGTCTATAGTATAGTCTATAGTCTAGTCTATAGTCTAGTCTATAGTCTAGTATATATTTTTAAACCTAATTCCCAAATAATCCCTTTACTAACATAAGTATGGGAGATACCTAAGAATTACTTAAACTTATAAGCGGATTAGCCAACTGTTGAATCGATTACATTTCAATATTTCGCAAATGTAGCTTAATTCAATTGTTTGTTTTTTTTAAATTTTTATTTATAATGAATGTAGATAAAAAATACCTTTTTCTGAAATTTCAGCACAACTTTAAGAATAATAGAAATAATAAAATATTAAACTTTTCAACCAGTTCATAGTTTTCTGATCTAAAATTTTATTAACACTTTAAATGTTTCTTTTTTTTTAAACAAACTTATAATAAGTATTTTACTTAAATTATTCTTTTAATTTAATTTATTTAAATTTCATAAAAGAATCTCTTAAGTTTACGTTTCAAAATATTCGTCCCATGCACTTGAAGGTTTAAAATATGACTGGGGTTATATTTAAAAACAATCCACCAGCTACAGAGATATTTGTATGACCAGCCAAAACTAATCGATATTTTAAAAATGTTAACACCTTTTTTTTGTTTTTTTATAAAATTTTATATTATAACCATTATTTAGTATTTTTGTATGTTGTTGTTTTTCATACAGAAAAAAACAGAAGAAAAATGTAGAATAAAAACAAACAAATTAAAAACTAAAATAAAACTATGTCTACATGGATTGTTTTTGCATGACATTGTCACAATACATTCACACAAACATACATATATATATATCCATATACAAAGTGGTCACTGTTACAGTGAGTCACGTGTTGAATCACTATAGTGAGATGTAACAGGTATTAGAAACAAATATCATACCACGACATGAATCCTGTACAGTTTAAGTTTTAGTTATTATTACGTTAAACTTAATCCCAATTATTTAATAGAATTTTAAATTTTAAAATAATTATGAAATTAAAATCTGCATAAACAGCACAAAAAACTATTTCTCTCTATTAGTATAAAATTACTTCACGTAAAGTCCTTTTAAATATATAATTTTGATATTGTTTTAAACAGAAAGATTTTCATGTTTTTTAAACACTATCCTGAAAGTTCTTAAACATTTCTTTAAAAACATGATTAACACGAATCAATAAATTATTACAGAATATATATATAATTTTAAAAAATCTTATTTGTTTTTATACAAATATTATTTGTAGTCTTCTAGACGACCCCACTGTCAATACAAACAAATATCCTGACATATCACCCACAAATGACTCTGGATACATTTTAATAAACCGTTTATTAAATATTTAATGATGAGAAATTTAAATATGACACGATACCAATACAATTGTGGTCACTTTGCTGTCCCCAGACCGATATGTTGTGCATTTAGGTGTGTACTTATTAAGAGTTTTTAGTTTAGAAGAAGTGTTTAGACTAGACTATAAAATGGAATATAGATTAGACTATGGACTAGCCTATAGCAGATAACATAGACTAGACTATAGACTAGACTATAGACTAGACTATAGACTAGACTATAGACTAGACTATAGACTAGACTAGACTAGACTATAGACTAGACTATAGACTAGACTATAGACTAGACTATAGACTAGACTATAGACTAGACTATAGACTAGACTATAGACTAGACTATAGACTAGACTATAGACTAGACTATAGACTAGACTATAGACTAGACTATAGACTAGACTATAGAATAGACTATAGACTAGACTATAGACCAGACTATAGGCTACAGACCAGACTATAGACTAGAGACTAGACTATAGACTAGAGACTAGACTATAGACTAGTCTATAGACTAGACTATACAATAGACTATAGAATAGACTATAGACTAGACTAGACTAGACTAGACTATACTATACTAGACTAGACTAGACTAGACTAGACTAGACTAGACTAGACTAGACTAGACTAGACTAGACTAGACTAGACTAGACTAGACTAGAATAGACTAGACTAGACTAGGCTCGACTAGACTAGACTAGACTATAGACTAGACTATAGACTAGACTATAGACTAGACTATAGACTAGATTTTTTTTTTTTTTATTAATGGACGTAGTGATAGCGCGCTATCATCTAGTGGCCCCACGAGATCTCCTCCAGAACAACCTGGTACTACTGTGGCATTTCTTCAGGTTGACTGGTTATATGATAGATTTTTTATCTGCGACATTTTTTTTTACTTTCCTACATCCCCCTATCTAGGAGGTTCGGAGTTTTTCAGCTTAAAAATTGTGCTGATGTATTTCTCACAGCGTGTCCACAACTCTTGTGAACTGAGCATTACTTGTAATAAGTTATTCTCTGTTACAACTTCATTCATTGAGTTGTTCCATTGTTCTCTTTGTGCATCCCACTTTTTACATTTAAAGAGCATATGTCTTGCTGTGTCTTCATCGTTTTCACATGTTTCACATAGTGGAGAAGTTTTTATCTTAAATTTGTGTAAATATTGATTAAAATTTCCATGATTTGTAAATGCTTGTGTTATGTAGAAGCTCAGATTTCCATGTTTTCTTTCGAGCCATACTTTTATGTTGGGTATTAACAGATGAGTCCACCTTCCCCTTTCATCTTGATTCCATCTTTCTTGCCATTTATTTATAAGATTAGTTCTTGCATTCTTCCGTATCTCCTTTAGCATGGTTGCGTTTGACGTTGTATTGTTTAAATATTCTAATTGCTTCGTTTGTGTGTATATTTCCTCCCTTTCATGGACTAATAGGTCGATTGGTGGTATACCAGCAAGTACTAATGCCGATGCTGTAGAGACGGTTCGGTAGGCCGATATTACCCTTAGAGCAGTTATTCTCTGTGGCTTCTCGAGTTCTTTTATTCTACATTTAATCTTCAATGCTTGGGCAAAAGTAGGCGCAGCATATAGAAGCTGCGAGTGTACTACGCTGTTTATCAACTTCCTAGTTTGTGGTTTAGGTCCTCCTACGTTTGGCATAATTCGACTGAGCGATGTAGCCGTTCTTAGCGCTTTATTTCTTATATTTTTAATGTGTTGGGAATAACTTAGCCTGTCGTCTAATTGCACTCCTAGATAACATAAATTTCTTTTAAACCGAATTTCTGTGTTTTGCAGACGAAGTTTTGGTAGGATAAATTTTCTTCTATTTGTCACGAGTATAGCTTCTGTTTTGGCCGCAGCCAGCTCTAAGCCTTTGTTTTCCAGCCAGAAGTTGCATCGTCTTAGGCTGTCATTTCCTACTATTTGCAACAATTCCGTAGATGGTTGTGTAATGACAAGAGCAATATCATCAGCATAACCAATTAATTTTGCTCCATTCTGCAGTTCCATATTTAAGAGTCCATCGTACATAACATTCCAAAGGAATGGTCCTAGTACTGACCCCTGTGGTACTCCAACCGTTATCTTATGTTTCTTTAAACCGTTTGTTGTTTCATAAATCAGTGTTCTATTTTCGAGGTAGTTGTCTATTATATTATACAGATAGCCGCTCAAACCTTTGTTTTTAAAAGCATACTTGACTTCTTTCCATTTTACACTGTTAAACGCGTTTCGGACATCTAACGTTATGATCGCGTTATGATCGCGCAATATTGCGCGATCATAACGTTAGATGTCCGAAACGCGTTTAACAGTGTAAAATGGAAAGAAGTCAAGTATGCTTTTAAAAACAAAGGTTTGAGCGGCTATCTGTATAATATAATAGACAACTACCTCGAAAATAGAACACTGATTTATGAAACAACAAACGGTTTAAAGAAACATAAGATAACGGTTGGAGTACCACAGGGGTCAGTACTAGGACCATTCCTTTGGAATGTTATGTACGATGGACTCTTAAATATGGAACTGCAGAATGGAGCAAAATTAATTGGTTATGCTGATGATATTGCTCTTGTCATTACACAACCATCTACGGAATTGTTGCAAATAGTAGGAAATGACAGCCTAAGACGATGCAACTTCTGGCTGGAAAACAAAGGCTTAGAGCTGGCTGCGGCCAAAACAGAAGCTATACTCGTGACAAATAGAAAAAATTTATCCTACCAAAACTTCGTCTGCAAAACACAGAAATTCGGTTTAAAAGAAATTTATGTTACCTAGGAGTGCAATTAGACGACAGGCTAAGTTATTCCCAACACATTAAAAATATAAGAAATAAAGCGCTAAGAACGGCTACATCGCTCAGTCGAATTATGCCAAACGTAGGAGGACCTAAACCACAAACTAGGAAGTTGATAAACAGCGTAGTACACTCGCAGCTTCTATATGCTGCGCCTACTTTTGCCCAAGCATTGAAGATTAAATGTAGAATAAAAGAACTCGAGAAGCCACAGAGAATAACTGCTCTAAGGGTAATATCGGCCTACCGAACCGTCTCTACAGCATCGGCATTAGTACTTGCTGGTATACCACCAATCGACCTATTAGTCCATGAAAGGGAGGAAATATACACACAAACGAAGCAATTAGAATATTTAAACAATACAACGTCAAACGCAACCATGCTAAAGGAGATACGGAAGAATGCAAGAACTAATCTTATAAATAAATGGCAAGAAAGATGGAATCAAGATGAAAGGGGAAGGTGGACTCATCTGTTAATACCCAACATAAAAGTATGGCTCGAAAGAAAACATGGAAATCTGAGCTTCTACATAACACAAGCATTTACAAATCATGGAAATTTTAATCAATATTTACACAAATTTAAGATAAAAACTTCTCCACTATGTGAAACATGTGAAAACGATGAAGACAGCAAGACATATGCTCTTTAAATGTAAAAAGTGGGATGCACAAAGAGAACAATGGAACAACTCAATGAATGAAGTTGTAACAGAGAATAACTTATTACAAGTAATGCTCAGTTCACAAGAGTTGTGGACACGCTGTGAGAAATACATCAGCACAATTTTTAAGCTGAAAAACTCCGAACCTCCTAGATAGGGGGATGTAGGAAAGTAAAAAAAAATGTCGCAGATAAAAAATCTATCATATAACCAGTCAACCTGAGAAATGCCACAGTAGTACCAGGTTGTTCTGGAGGAGATCTCGTGGGGCCACTAGATGATAGCGCGCTATCACTACGTCCATTAATAAAAAAAAAAAAAAAGTCTAGTCTATAGTCCTAGTCTATAGTCTAGTCTATAGTCTAGTCTATAGTCTAGTCTAGTCTAGTCGAGCCTAGTCTAGTCTAGTCTATTCTAGTCTAGTCTAGTCTAGTCTAGTCTAGTCTAGTCTAGTCTAGTCTAGTCTAGTCTAGTCTAGTCTAGTCTAGTCTAGTCTAGTCTAGTATAGTCTAGTCTAGTCTAGTCTAGTCTATAGTCTATTCTATAGTCTATTGTATAGTCTAGTCTATAGACTAGTCTATAGTCTAGTCTCTAGTCTATAGTCTAGTCTCTAGTCTATAGTCTGGTCTGTAGCCTATAGTCTGGTCTATAGTCTAGTCTATAGTCTATTCTATAGTCTAGTCTATAGTCTAGTCTATAGTCTAGTCTATAGTCTAGTCTATAGTCTAGTCTATAGTCTAGTCTATAGTCTAGTCTATAGTCTAGTCTATAGTCTAGTCTATAGTCTAGTCTATAGTCTAGTCTATAGTCTAGTCTATAGTCTAGTCTATAGTCTAGTCTATAGTCTAGTCTATAGTCTAGTCTATAGTCTAGTCTATAGTCTAGTCTATAGTCTAGTCTATGTTATCTGCTATAGGCTAGTCCATAGTCTAATCTATATTCCATTTTATAGTCTAGTCTAAACACTTCTTCTAAACTAAAAACTCTTAATAAGTACACACCTAAATGCACAACATATCGGTCTGGGGACAGCAAAGTGACCACAATTGTATTGGTATCGTGTCATATTTAAATTTCTCATCATTAATATTTAATAAACGGTTTATTAAAATGTATCCAGAGTCATTTGTGGGTGATATGTCAGGATATTTGTTTGTATTGACAGTGGGGTCGTCTAGAAGACTACAAATAATATTTGTATAAAACAAATAAAGATTTTTTAAAATTATATATATATTCTGTAATAATTTATTGATTCGTTAATCATGTTTTTAAAGAAATGTTTAAGAACTTTCAGGATAGTGTTTATAAAACATGAAAATCTTTCTGTTTAAAACAATATCAAAATTATATATTTAAAAGGACTTTACGTGAAGTAATTTTATACTAATAGATAGAAATAGTTTTTTGTGCTGTTTTATGCAGATTTTAATTCATAAATTATTTAAAATTTAAAATTCTATTAAATAATTGGGATTAAGTTTAACGTAATAATAACTAAAACTTAAACTGTACAGGATTCATGTCGTGTTATGATATTTGTTTCTAATACCTGTTACATCTCACTATAGTGATTCAACACGTGACTCACTGTAACAGTGACCACTTTGTATATGGATATATATATATGTATGTTTGTGTGAATGTATTGTGACAATGTCATGCAAAACAATCCATGTAGACATAGTTTTTATTTTAGTTTTAATTTGTTTGTTTTTATTCTACATTTTTCTTCTGTTTTTTTCTGTATGAAAAACAACAACATACAAAAATACTAAATAATGGTTATAATATAAAATTTTATAAAAAAACAAAAAAAAGGTTTAACATTTTTAAAATATCGATTAGTTTTGGCTGGTCATACAAATATCTCTGTAGCTGGTGGATTGTTTTTAAAATATAACCCCAGTCATATTTTAAACCTTCAAGTGCATGGGACGAATATTTTGAAACGTAAACTTAAGAGATTCTTTTATGAAATTTAAATAAATTAAATTAAAAAGAATAATTTAAGTAAAATACTTATTATAAGTTTGTTTAAAAAAAAGAAACATTTAAAGTGTTAATAAAATTTTAGATCAGAAAACTATGAACTGGTTGAAAAGTTTAATATTTTATTTATTTCTATTAATTCTTAAAGTTGGTGCTGAAATTTCAGAAAAAAGGTATTTTTTATCTACAGTTCATTATAAATAAAAATTTAAAAAAAACAAAACAATTGAATTAAGCTACATTTGCGAAAATATTGAAATGTAATCGATTCAACAGTTGGCTAATCCGCTTATAAGTATTAAGTAATTCTTAGGTATCTCCCATACTTATGTTAGTAAAGGGATTATTTGGAATTAGGTTTAAAAATATAAGACTAGACTATAGACTAGACTATAGACTAGACTATAGACTATACTATAGACTAGACAATAGACTAGACTATAGACTAGACTATAGACAGACTAGACTAGACTATAGACTAGACCTATAGACTATACTATAGACTAGACAATAGACTAGACTATAGACTAGACTAAGACTAGACTATAGACTAGACTATAGACTAGACTAGAGACTAGACTATAGACTAGACTATAGACTAGATATAGACTAGACTATAGACTAGACTAGACTATAGACTAGACTATAGACCTAGACTATAGAATAGACTAGACTATAGACTAGCATATAGAATAGACTAGACTATAGACTAGACTAGACTTTAGACTAGACTATAGACTAGACTATAGACTAGACTAGACTTTAGACTAGACTAGACTTTAGACTAGACTAGACTTAGACTAGAACTATAGACTAGGACTATAGACTAGCTAGACTTTAGATAGACTATAGACTAGACTATAGACTAGACTATAGACTAGGACTATATAGACTATGACTAGACTATAGACTAGACTATAGACTAGACTATAGACTAGACTATAGACTAGACTATAGACTAGACTATAGACTAGACTATAGACTAGACTATAGACTAGACTATAGACTAGACTATAGACTAGACTATAAACTAGACTATAGACTAGACTATAGACTAGACTATAGACTAGACTATAGACTAGACTATAGACTAAACTATAGACTAGACTATAGACTAGACTATAGACTAGACTATAGACTAGACTATAGACTAGACTATAGACTAGACTATAGACTAGACTATAGACTAGACTATAGACTAGACTATAGACTAGACTATAGACTAGACTATAGACTAGACTATAGACTAGACTATAGACTAGACTATAGACTAGACTATAGACTAGACTATAGACTAGACTATAGACTAGACTATAGACTAGACTATAGACTAGACTATAGACTAGACTATAGACTAGACTATAGACTAGACTATAGACTAGACTATAGACTAGACTATAGATTAGACTATAGACTAGACTATAGACTAGACTATAGACTAGACTATAGACTAGACTATAGACTAGACTATAGACTAGACTATAGACTAGACTATAGACTAGACTATAGACTAGACTATACTAGACTATAGACTAGACTATAGACTAGACTATAGACTAGACTATAGACTAGACTATAGACTAGACTATAGACTAGACTATAGACTAGACTATAGACTAGACTAGACTAGACTATAGACTAGACTATAGACTAGACTATAGACTAGACTATAGACTAGACTATAGACTAGACTATAGACTAGACTATAGACTAGACTATAGACTAGACTATAGACTAGACTATAGACTAGACTATAGACTAGACTATAGACTAGACTATAGACTAGACTATAGACTAGACTATAGACTAGACTATAGACTAGACTATAGACTAGACTATAGACTAGACTATAGACTATAGACTATAGACTAGACTATAGACTAGACTATAGACTAGACTATAGACTAGACTATAGACTAGACTATAGACTAGACTATAGACTAGACTATAGACTAGACTATAGACTAGACTATAGACTAGACTATAGACTAGACTATAGACTAGACTATAGACTAGACTATAGACTAGACTATAGACTAGACTATAGACTAGACTATAGACTAGACTATAGACTAGACTATAGACTAGACTATAGACTAGACTATAGACTAGACTATAGACTAGACTATAGACTAGACTATAGACTAGACTATAGACTAGAGTATAGACAAGACTATAAAGTTTATTATAGACTAGACTATACATATCTTTCTTCTAATATTTATGTTTAAAACAATTTCATCTACTTTTTATACCCTTCACCTTCGTGAAATGGTTGTATAGAGTTTGTTGTTCTGTTCATAATTTTAAAGAAATAATTTTGTGACCTCATAAGTTACAAATATAGTTTGTAACTCGTTATAGGTATCGAAGTCGGCTTAGCGATGTCCGTCTGTACGTCTACGCAATTCCCTATCTTATTTACGTTTGTTTTTAAATGTCTGTCTATCCTGGTGTATGTTGAAATCAGTTTTCAGAAGACCCCAGAACCGAATTTTCAATAATTCAATCAGACATGCTTTCAGGAGGAGCGCTATTTATTTACGAATGAAGCAGTGTATTGTTATTGTCTAGAAACATGAAATTATGTGTGTAGAGCCCGTGGTAAGTGAAAGCCTATAAAAGGGAACTTTTTGGTGATTTATCGTTCTTCAGAAGCTTCTTTTTTAATTTTCTATAAAAATGAACCTAGAAACTTATAAAAGGGTACTTCTAGGTACTTTTTCGTTCATCAAAAGGTACTTTTTGAATTTTCTATAATACTGAACCTAGAAACAAGAAATTAAGTATGTAGAGCCTGGAGTAAGTGAGAACCTATAAAAAGGGTACTTTTAGGTACTTTGTCGTTCATCAAAATAAGCATGAAGAGCCCAAAGTAAATGAGAACCTGTAAAAGGTGACTTTTTGGTACTTTTTCGTTCTTGAAAATAAAATACGTACTGACTGTTGTTTAACACACTATGGTGAAGGGTATATAAGATTCGGTACGGCCGAATATAGAACTCTTGTTCAAATTACAGATGATTCACAAGAAATTCTAACAGTGCCTTCAACATCACTTCCCATTGTACTACAACTATCTAAATCTTTACCGGTGGGTAATGAACTCACGCAACCGACAGTGGATAAAAATAATAACGACATTAAAGAACATACAAATTATCAGAGTATTTCGAATGATATAGAGGTATTTAATGATAAATTGGGGCCACGTTTAGAAAACCAAGATGAGGAAGCTGAGGCCGAAGCTCAAGAAGGCACAGGAGAAGAATCTGAAGTAGGAGCTGAGCCTGAAGCTGAACCAGAAGCCGAGCCTGTAGCTGAACCAGAACCAGAAGCTGAACCTCAAGCTGATGAAACAGAACCCGAAGCTGAGCCAGAACCTGAGCCTGCAGCGGAGCCAGTTGAAGAGACTGAAGCGGAAACAGTTCCAGAACCAGAAGGCGAACCTGAAGAGCCAAAAGAAGAAGAAACTCCACCCGAACCTGCAGCAGGGGACGCTCCGGAATCAGCAGATGAACCTGAACCGGAACCCCAACCTGAAACAGAACCAGAAGAAGTAGCAGCTGCAGATCCTACCGAAACTGTTGATGCAGCTAACGAAGACTCTGAAATGCCTAACGATGAACCAGCCAAAGAGGAGGAAGATCAAAAAGATATAGAAAATGCATCGCCCGCAACACATGCTGAAGATGCTGCAACTAAAGATGTTAAGGATCATCAAGTTTCCTGTTTTATTTGCACTAGTGTTGAGGATTTAAAATGTAATATGAAAGCAACACGTCAAGCTTCATGTCCGAAAGTTAGCGATGGTGATTCAGGAAAGCATAATGGTTGTTATACGCTATATAAAGGTAAGCCAAAAAAGAATTAAAGGTCTGGACTATAGTCAAGGATATTGCATAGACTTTAGTCCAGACTATAGTCCAAACTATAAACTAGACTATACTTGACTATATATTGGATTGTAGTCCAGACTATAGACTGGTCTATAGTCCAGTCTAGTCCCGACTATAGTCTAGACTATAGAATAGACAATAATCCAGACTATGTGTTGGACTATAGACTGGACTATATCCCAGACTATAGGCTAGACTATAGTCTGGGATATAGTCCATAGACTTTAGACTATAGCCCACACTTTCGATTAGTCTATAGTCTGTAGATTAGACGTTAGCTCATATATTGGATTGTAGTCCAGACTATAGTCCAGTCTAGTCCCGACTATAGTCTAGACTATAGACTAGACAATATTCCAGACTATGTTTTGGACTATACTACACTATAGCCAAGACTATAGGCTAGATTATAGTCCTGACTATAGATTAACCTATAAGAAAGACTTTAGACTAGACTATAGCCCAGCCTTTCGATTGGTCTATAGACTATAGATTAGACGTTAGCTCAGCCTATATATTGGATTGTAGTCCAGACTATAGACTATAGTCGAGTCTAGTCCCGACTATAGTCTGTAGTCTAGACTATAGTCCAGACTATAGACTTGACTATAGTCCAGACTATAGACTTGACTATAGTCCAGACTATAGACTTGACTATAGTCCAGACTATAGACTTGACTATAGTCCAGACTATAGACTTGACTATAGTCCAGACTATAGACTTGACTATAGTCCAGACTATAGACTTGACTATAGTCCAGACTATAGACTTGACTATAGTCCAGACTATAGACTTGACTATAGTCCAGACTATAGACTTGACTATAGTCCAGACTATAGACTTGACTATAGTCCAGACTATAGACTTGACTATAGTCCAGACTATAGACTTGACTATAGTCCAGACTATAGACTTGACTATAGTCCAGACTATAGTCCAGACTATAGACTAGACTATAGTCCAGACTATAGTCTAGACTATAGACTAGACTATAGTCTAGACTATAGACTAGACTATAGTCCAGACTATAGACTAGACTATAGTCCAGACTATAGACTAGACTATAGTCCTGACTATAGACTAGACCATAGTATAGTACAGACTATAGACTAGACTAGACTATAGTACAGAATATAGACTAGACTATAGACTAGACTATAGTACAGACTATAGACTAGACTATAGTCCAGACTATAGACTAGACTATAGTCCAGACTATAGACTAGACCATAGTATAGTACAGACTATAGACTAGACTAGACTATAGTACAGAATATAGACTAGACTATAGACTAGACTATAGTACAGACTATAGTCCAGACTATAGACTAGACTATAGTCCAGACTATAGACTAGTCTATAGTCCAGACTATAGACTAGACTATAGTCCAGACTATAGTCTAGACTATAGTCCAGACTATAGTCTAGACTATAGTCCAGACTATAGTCCAGACTATAGACTAGACTATAGTCCAGACTATAGACTAGACTATAGTCCGGACTATAGACTAGACTATAGTCCAGACTATAGACTAGACTATAGCCCAGACTATAGTCCAAACTATAGACTAGACTATAGTCCAAACTATAGTCTAGACTATAGACTAGACTATAGTCCAGACTATAACTAGACTATAGTCCAGACTATAACTAGACTATAGTCCAGACTATAGACTAGACTATAGTCCAGACTATAGTCCAGACTATAGACTAGACTATAGTCCAGACTATAGTCTAGACTATAGACTAGACTATAGACTAGACTATAGTCCAGACTATAGTCCAGACTATAGACTAGACTATAGTCCAGACTATAGTCCAGACTATAGACTAGACTATAGTCCAGACTATAGTCTAGACTATAGACTAGACTATAGTCCAGACTATAGACTAGACTATAGACTAGACTATAGTCCAGACTATAGACTAGACTATAGACTAGACTATAGTACAGACTATAGACTAGACTATAGACTAGACTATAGTACAGACTATAGACTAGACTATAGTCCAGACTATAGACTAGACTATAGTCCGGACTATAGACTAGACAATAATCCTGACTATGTTTTGGACTATTGACTAGACTATAGCCCAAACTATAGTCCTGACTATAGATTAACCTATAAGACAGACTTTAGACTAGAGCCCAGCCTTTCGATTAGGCCGGACTATAAACCATTTTATAGTCTAGACCATTGTTCAGACTGTAGATTAGTCTATATACCAGGCTATTGATTAGAATATAGTTTAAACTATGGACTAGAATATAAAGTTAACTAAAGACTAGATTATAGTCCAGACCATAGATTCGACTACACTCCAGACTGTAGTAGTAATATGATAAAATTTCTTTTTGCAGCTGACACAAATATAAACCATGCGTGGCTGTGTGGACGAATTGGCCGAAGAGGGTCTTAAATATTGTCTAGCAAATGAGAAATTATGCAATTTATGCTATGAAAATAATTGCAATAATAAAATGGCACCCAGCGATGCTAATATGCTACAGTTTAAATTGTCTACAATGCTGTTCTTAAATATTTTTTCCATAATTATAATTAAGAGATTAACAAATTTGTCATTAATATAATTGTGGCGAACAGATAAAATAATAAATTTTATTTAGTGGGGAAAAGCATCTGATGATTTCGCCGTATTACAGTCCTTTTTATAGCAAGCGTTACACTGTTTAAGTTCTACATTTTTACAGATTCCTTGATTTTGTGTACTGGCATCGACTATACAACCACGAATAGCATCACCGTCTGTTAAACGTAGAGAGAGGGAGAGAACAATAAATTAATATAAACCGATTAATAAGGAAAACAATAATTCCATACTTACGCCAAATGCCATGAAAACAACCTCTTTGGTGAACTAGGGCTAACACGACAATGTTTTCCCTTAAAGGTATTTGCCTCATCCCAACACTTGAAATTCTCATCACTGCGACATACGATACAAGTGAAATCTAATGTTTCCTTCTCACTATTGCAACCATCGCGATTGTTGCATTTCGAGCAGGTATCACTATCGATATCTTGGCATAAGTCAAGAGTTAGGTCCAAATTATCATGAAGGCAACCACGTTTAATGGTATTACCATTGATTTGGGTATAACAATATTCGGGAAAATTGTAACGAATTTGTCTCTTACATTTCTCAAACACTTTACTAGTTTGTTTATCAAAACATTCGCTAGTTATATCATCACTTGTGCACTGATGACACTTAAGCACTTGATCATATATATACTTTAAATTATTACAGTTATTGTTGGAACAAAACACACAACCTTCAGCAGCGTCCAAACATTCATTATCCCTAGTATCGGACTTGCATCCACGCGTCATGTCGATCTCACTCTTAGCCACGGTATAGCATTGATCGTTCTCTTCGTAATTCGCACAGACTTTGTAAACTATATTATTTGCTGTAACATCTTCGCAGCTGCTACCAGTACATTGGTAGCAAGTGATTCGACCCTTGGGGAATATTCCAGTATTGCAGTTAACGCTATCACATGTTTCACACGTTTTGGAATTGGAACATTGTTGGATATCACTCTTAGAGGCGCAACCTCTTACTACCAATTTGTTAACGACTTTTTTGAAACATCTACTAACGCCCTCGACGCAGATATGATTGTATTTCTGATCGTTAATATTCATATCGGTTTGTGAGCACTTTTCGTCGGTTGCATCACATCGTTTGCAAATAAGTTGATTATTTTTTCTCTCGGCTGCGATAATGCAATTATTATCGGCTGTACATGTTTTTGCTTCATCGTCTGTTTTGCAACCTCTTGTAATGTTGCCACTAGTGTCTAGGAGAAACAAACAATTTTTAGATTTAACAGTCGATTTAAGTAACTAATTATGCCTATAGGGAGGACATATTATTTTTAGATTTGAAAATTGTTATTAAATATTTATAGACTATAGTGAGGACTGTAGACTAGAATACAGTCCAGACTATAAACTAGACTATTCTTCTCTATAGACTAAACTATTCTAGTGTATAGTCCGGACTATAGTCTAGTCTATAGTAAAGTCTATAGTCTAGTCTATTATCTATAGTCAGTTCTAGTTCAGTCCTAGTTCACTTCTAGTTCAGTTCTAGTTCAGTTCTAGTTCAGTTCTAGTTCAGTTCTAGTTCAGTTCTAGTTCAGTTCTAGTTCAGTTCTAGTTCAGTTCTAGTTCAGTTCTAGTTCAGTTCTAGGTCAGTTCTAGTTCAGTTCTAGTTCAGTTCTAGTTCAGTTCTAGTTCAGTTCTAGTTCAGTTCTAGTTCAGTTCTAGTTTCAGTTCTAGTTCAGTTCTAGTTCAGTTCTAGTTCAGTTCTAGTTCAGTTCTAGTTCAGTTCTAGTTCAGTTCTAGTTCAGTTCTAGTTCAGTTCTAGTTCAGTTCTAGTTCAGTTCTAGTTCAGTTCTAGTTCAGTTCTAGTTCAGTTCTAGTTCAGTTCTAGTTCAGTTCTAGTTCAGTTCTAGTTCAGTTCTAGTTCAGTTCTAGGTCAGTTCTAGTCAGTCAGTTCAGTAGTTCTAGTTCAGTTCTAGTTCAGTTCTAGTTCAGTTCTAGTTCAGTTCTAGTTCAGTTAGTCAGTTCTAGTTCAGTTCTAGTTCATTTCTAGTTCAGTTCTAGTTCAGTTCTAGTTCAGTTCTAGTTCAGTTCTAGTTCAGTTCTAGTTCATTTCTAGTTCAGTTCTAGTTCAGATTCTAGTTCAGTTCTAGTTCAGTTCTAGTTCAGTTCTAGTTCAGTTCTAGTTCAGTTCTAGTTCAGTCTAGTTCAGTTCTAGTTCAGTCTAGTTCAGTTCTAGTTCAGTTCTAGTTCAGTTCTAGTTCAGTTCTAGTTCAGTTCTCGTTCAGTTCTAGTTCAGTTCAGTTCAGTTTCTAGTTCAGTTCTAGTTCAGTTCTAGTTCAGTTCTAGTTCAGTTCTAGTTCAGTTCTAGTTCAGTTCTAGTTCAGTTCTAGTTCAGTTCTAGTTCAGTTCTAGTTCAGTTCTAGTTCAGTTCTAGTTCAGTTCTAGTTCAGTTCTAGTTCAGTTTCTAGTTCAGTTCTAGTTCAGTTCTAGTTCAGTTCTAGTTCAGTTCTAGTTCAGTTCTAGTTCAGTTCTAGTTCAGTTCTAGTTCTAGTTCAGTTCTAGTTCTAGTTCTAGTTCAGTTCTAGTTCAGTTCTAGTTTAGTTCTAATTCAGTTTTAGTTCAGTTCTAATTCAGTTCTAGATTCAATATTATAGAGAAATCAAAGTGTACCTTGTGAAGAACGAAAAAGTACCAAAAAGTTCGGACTCTACTAGTTTAATTTTATGTTTATAGGTTCAATATTATAGAAAACTCAAAAAGTACCAGTTAAAGAACGAAAAAGTACCAAAATGTCCAATTTTATATATACTTTGGGCTCCACATACTTAATATTATGTTATCAAGTTTTTGACCACAAAACTAATACTAACCAATTTGTGTAAAGCATTTGGTTTGGTCTTTATTGGGACAGACTTTAGCATCTTCCCAAAGAGTTGTACTACAAGTATCTTCACTGCCACCACATTGTATACATTTAATTCCTGAAAAAAATATACATATATAGGAAAACTGATTTGTTATACATATTTATATAAAAATACGTACTTCATCCGTATATATTTCAAGGTCATTTTATAGTAGAGTATATTTTCCTCAAAAAAAAATTTCTCGAAATTGTACTTCTACTAAATAAAACTTACCAGCTACAGTTGTTAACGCTAACTGTATTAAAACTATTACAATTAAACAAATATATTTTGTATATTTTCCACTTGAAAATATCATGGTTTTTCATTCCCGTTTTTAGGAGGAAACTATGGAACTATTTTTTATTTTACCGCTTAAAATAACGTTGTTCACGTCTTTAGTTTTTATAGGTGACTGATTGATATTTGTTTTGTATTGATTTAACCGTAAAGAAGTTATTTCGTGTATCACAAAGCATTTTTATAGTTATTGAAAATATCAGTCTATTTACCTCGATTACCCAAATAAAACTTCATAAAGACTTGTACTTACACAAAAACGTATTTTTTAATGATCACTATATACCGTCTGTATTACTTTTCTTATTGTAATAATGACTTTTATATATGTACATATTTTTAAACTGGACTATAATCCAGGCTATATACTAAACTATAGTCCAGAATATAGTTTAGACTATAGATTGTTTTTTTTAATATTTGTTTTTTTAATCTAATATTTGTTGCCTATTATTACAACCATCGCCATTATTGCATTTCGTGCAGGTATCACTATCAGCATCTTTGCATATGTCAACTGTTAGGTCCAAATTATCATGAAGACAACCACGTTTAATGGTATTACCATTGATTTGGGTATAACAATATTCGGGAAAAGTATAACGAATTTGTCTCTTACATTTCTCAAACACTTTACTAGTTTGTTTATCAAAACATTTATTAGTAGGAACATCACTGGTGCACTGATGACACTTGAGTACTTGATCATATATACTTTAAATTATTACAGTTATTGTTGGAGCAAAAGACACAACCTTCAGCAGCGTCTAAACATTCATTATCCCTAGTATCGGACTTGCAACCACGTGTCATGTCGTTTTCGTTCTTCGCTTTCATATAGCATTGATCATTTTCTTCGTAATTCGCACAGACTTTGTCAACTATATTATTTGCGGTAATATCTTCGCAGCTGCTACCAGTACATTGGTAGCAAGTGATGCGACCCTTGGGGAATACTCCAGTATTGCAGTTAATGCTGTCACATGTTTCACAGGTTTTAGAATCGGTACATTGTTGGATATCATTCTCAGTGGCACAATCTCTAACGACAAGTTTGTTAACGACTTTCTTAATACATCTTCTAACGCCTTCGACGCAGATGTGATTGTATTCCAGATCGTTAATATTCATGTCGGTTTGAGAGCACTTTTCATCGGTTGCAATACATTTTTTGCATATAAGTTGATTATTTTTTCTCTCGCCTGTGATAATACAATTATTATCAGCTGTACATGCTTTGGCTTCAGCGTCTGTTTTGCAGCCTCTTGTAATGATGCCACTGGTGTCTAGGAGTAATATAGAAATTTTAAATAAATGGATTTAACAATTACATTTTAATTTTAGATTTGAGCAGACTCTTGACTAGACTTTGACACAGACTAGTCTAAACTATAGACTATATAATAGTTTAGACTATAGACGAGACTATTTCCCGGACTTAAGACTAGACTATAATTCTGACTGAAAACTTTAACATAATTTACACTAAGACTATTGTCCAGACTATAGATTTTAGTCCAGATTATAGACTAGACAATAGTCGTGACTAAAGACTTCAAGACTATACACTATATAATATACCCGGCAGTTCTAGACTATATTCTGGACTAAATTGAAAACTTTAGTACAGATCTTTATTTAGTCTATAGTCCAGTATCTAGTGTGGACTATATTAAAGTCTTTAATCTTGACTATATCCTATAGTTCAGAATACATCCTATATACTAGATTATAGTGCTGACTATAGACTATAATCCTGACTAAAGACTTTAATATAATCTAGTCTAGACTAAACAATATTCCAGAATATAGATTAGACTGTAGTCCAAACAAAATACTTCAATATAGTTCGGATTATAGACTACACTATCGCCCAGATTATAGAGTAGTCCATTGCCAAAACAATAGTCTAGATAATAGAGATACAGACTATAAACTAGACAATAGTCCTGACTATAGTAGTGACTAATGACTCCATTATTATATTCTATACAATATATAGTACAGTTCATAAGTACAGATCTTTATTTAGTCTATAGTCCAGTATCTAGTGTGGACTATATTAAAGTCTTTAATCTGGACTATATCCTATAGTTCAGAATACATCCTATATACTAGATTATAGTGCTGACTATAGACTATAATCCTGCCTAAAGACTTTAATATAATCTAGTCTAGACTAAACAATATTCCAGAATATAGGCTAGACTGTAGTCCAAACAAAAATACTTCAATATAGTTCGGATTATAGACTACACTATCGCCCAGATTATAGAGTAGTCTATTGCCAAAACAATAGTCTAGATAATAGAGTAGACTACAGACTATAAACTAGACAATAGTCCTGACTATAGTAGTGACTAATGACTCCAATATTATATTTTATACAATATATAGTACAGTTCATAAGTACAGATCTTATTTAGTCTATAGTCTAGTCTCTAGTGTGGACTATATTAAAGTCTTTAATCTTGACTATATCCTATAGTTCAGAATACATCCTATATACTAGATTATAGTGCTGACTATAGACTATAATCCTGACTAAAGACTTTAATATAATCTAGTCTAGACTAAACAATATTCCAGAATATAGATTAGACTGTAGTCCAACAAAATACTTCAATATAGTTCGGATTATAGACTACACTATCGCCCAGATTATAGAGTAGTCTATTGCCAAAAACAATAGTCTAGATAATAGAGATACAGACTATAAACTAGACAATAGTCCTGACTATAGTAGTGACTAATGGACTCATTATTATATTCTATACAATATTCTATACAATATACAGTTCATAAGAAGACTAGTCTAGTATATAGACTAGTCTATAGTTCACACAATAGACGTTGCTATAGTTCAGGCTATAGAACTAGACATTAGACAATAGACGCTATTATAATCCATGCTATAGATTATAGTTCAAAATATAATCCAGACTGTGGACTACACCACAGACTAGAACCTAAATACCTGTTTAGTCTTTATGAAAAATTACTTTTCTAAACAGGATTTTAAACACAAAACTCATACTTGCCAATTTGTGTAAAGCATTTGGTTTGATCTTTATTGGGACATACTTTAGCATCTTCCCAAAGAGTTGTACTACAAGTCTCTTCACTGTCTCCACACTGTATACATTTAATACCTAAAGAAGAAAAAAAGATAATTATCTCTCGATAATTAGGTATTTCAAGGCGCTTCAACCAACTTTTAAGTCCTATGAATAAACTTACCAGCTACAGTTGTTAACGCCAACTGCTCCAAAACTATTACAATTAAACAAATATATTTTGAATATTTTCCATATGAAAGCAACATGGTTTTTTTCCTTCCCATTTCTAGAGTTTTAAATTTTTAATTCTGTTTATTTTACTGCTTAAAACAACGTTGTTAACACTTTCAGTTTTTATTGGTGACTGATAGCATTTAGCACAAACCATTTTTGATTATTATCGAAACAAATTTCAATCTGTACGAAAACAGCTGAATCCTTTATTTTGACTAATTAGTAGTAATAATTAGTCAAGATAAACTTATAATGATTTTTACTTAAGCAACAACTTACTTTACATTACTTTTGAAAATACCAAATTCGCATTATGGGTCGGATTTTATTTGCACCTAAAATAAAACTACTTCCAAGTACCCATTTGTAATGACTAAAGTAAGTATTTCTTTGTAAGTGTGCTTGGTGCTAAAATAATGACTAGAATCTTATTGGCATATCAACTCAATGTAAGTTTAAGCTGGGTTACAGCTGCAAAGTTTATTATGTTAAATTTTTATTGGATACACTTTAATTACAAAAATATATATTTGTGATTGATACAATATAGTTTTCCCACCTTATAAGTATATATATTAGGGTGTGACGTGGACGGTAATTTATTTGGTAATTTTTGGGGTCCATTTAAAAAAATTTGGAGATATTTTTTACAAAATATAAGGCTATGATTTTCACTCGCCATTTCACTCGCCCATTCAATTTTTATTTGTCTCATGTTCAGTACATTGATACGCATAGATTGAGAGGTATTCCTACTTGAGATTCATAAACAGATTGTTCCTAGGGACTTCTTCTGGCCTTTTATAGTTAGTGTAGTCGATTAATCTATATATAGACTAGCTAGACTAGACTATAGACTAGACTATAGAATAGACCATAGACTAGACTATAGCCTAGATTATAGCCTAGACTATAGACTATAGACTAGACTATAGACTAGACTATAGACTAGACTTAGACTAGACTATAGACTAGACTATAGACTAGACTATAGACTAGACTATAGACTAGACTATAGACTAGACTATAGACTAGACTATAGACTAGACTATAGACTAGACTATAGACTAGACTATAGACTAGACTATAGACTAGACTATAGACTAGACTATAGACTAGACTATAGACTAGACTATAGACTAGACTATAGACTGGACTATAGACTAGACTATAGACTAGACTATAGACTAGACTATAGACTAGACTATAGACTAGACTATAGACTAGACTATAGACTAGACTATAGACTAGACTATTATCTAGACTATAGACTAGACTATAGACTAGACTATAGACTACACTATAGACTAGACTATAGACTAGACTATAGACTAGACTATAGACTAGACTATAGACTAGACTATAGACTAGACTATAGACTATACTATAGACTAGACTAGACTAGACTATAGACTAGACTATAGACTAGACTATAGACTAGACTATAGACTAGACTATAGACTAGACTATAGACTAGACTATAGACTAGACTATAGACTAGACTATAGACTAGACTATAGACTAGACTATAGACTAGACTATAGACTAGACTATAGACCGTACTATAGACTAGACTATAGACCGTACTATAGACTGACTATAGACCGTACTATAGACTAGACTATAGACTAGACTATAGACTAGACTATAGACTAGACTATAGACTAGACTATAGACTAGACTATAGACTAGACTATAGACTAGACTATAGACTAGACTATAGACTAGACTATAGACTAGACTATAGACTAGACTATAGACTAGACTATAGACTAGACTATAGACTAGACTATAGACTAGACTATAGACTAGACTATAGACTAGACTATAGACTAGACTATAGACTAGACTATAGACTAGACTATAGACTAGACTATAGACTAGACTATAGACTAGACTATAGACTAGACTATAGACTAGACTATAGACTAGACTATAGACGACTATAGACTAGACTATAGACTAGACTATAGACTAGACTTAGACTAGACTATAGACTAGACTATAGACTAGACTAAGACTAGACTATAGACTATATACTATAGACAGACTAGACTAGACTAGACTAGACTATAGACTAGACTATAGACTAGACTATAGACTAGACTATAGACTAGACTATAGACTAGACTATACTAGACTATAGACTAGACTATAGACTAGACTATACACTAGACTATAGACTAGACTATAGACTAGACTATAGACTAGACTATAGACTAGACTATAACTAGACTATAGACAGACTATAGACTAGACTATAGACTACTATAGACTAGACTATAGACTAGACTATAGACTAGACTATAGACTAGACTATAGACTAGACTATAGACTAGACTATAGACTAGACTATAGACTAGACTATAGACTAGACTATAGACTAGACTATAGACTAGACTATAGACTAGACTATAGACTAGACTATAGACTAGACTATAGACCGTACTATAGACTAGACTATAGACCGTACTTAGACTAGACTATAGACTAGACTATAGACTAGACTATAGACTAGACTATAGACTAGACTATAGACTAGACTATAGACTAGACTATAGACTAGACTATAGACTAGACTCGACGAGCTATAGACTAGACTATAGACTAGACTATAGACTAGACCATAGACTAGACTATAGACTGAATATAGACTAGACTATCGATAGACTATAGACTAGACTATATACTAGACGATATACTAGACATAGACTAGACTATAGACTAGACTATAGACTAGACTATAGACTAGACTATAGACTAGACATAGACTAGACTAGACTAGACTATAGACTAGACTATAGCTATAGACTAGACTATAGACCGTACTATAGACTAGACTATAGACCGTACTATAGACTAGACTATAGACTAGACTATTCTAGTCTATATACGGTCTATAGTCTAGTCTATAGTACGGTCTATAGTCTAGTCTATATCTATAGTCTAGTCTATAGTCTAGTCATAGTCTAGTCTATAGTCTAGTCTATAGTCTAGTCTATAGTCTAGTCTATAGTCTAGTCTATAGTCTATCTATAGTCTAGTCTATAGTCTAGTCTAGTCTATCTAGTCTATAGTCTAGTCTAGTCTAGTCTATAGTCTAGTCTATAGTCTAGTCTATAGTCTAGTCTATAGTCTAGTCTATAGTCTAGTCTATAGTCTAGTCTATAGTCTAGTCTATAGTCTAGTCTATAGTCTAGTCTATAGTCTAGTCTATAGTCTAGTCTGTCTAGTCTATAGTCTAGTCTATAGTCTAGTCTATAGTCTATAGTCTATAGTACGTCTATAGTCTAGTCTATAGTAGTCTATAGTCTAGTCTATAGTCTAGTCTATAGTCTAGTCTATAGTCTAGTCTATAGTCTAGTCTATAGTCTAGTCTATAGTCTAGTCTATAGTCTAGTCTATAGTCTAGTCTATAGTCTAGTCTATAGTCTAGTCTATAGTCTAGTCTATAGTCTAGTCTATAGTCTAGTCTATAGTCTAGTCTATAGTCTAGTCTATAGTCTAGTCTATAGTCTAGTCTATAGTCTAGTCTATAGTCTAGTCTATAGTCTAGTCTATCTAGTCTATAGTCTAGTCTATAGTCTAGTCTATAGTCTAGTCTATAGTCTAGTCTATAGTCTAGTCTATAGTCTAGTCTATAGTCTAGTCTATAGTCTAGTCTATAGTCTAGTCTATAGTCTAGTCTATAGTCTAGTCTAGTCTAGTCTATAGTCTAGTCTATAGTCTAGTCTATAGTCTAGTCTATAGTCTAGTCTATAGTCTAGTGTCTATAGTCTAGTCTATAGTCTAGTCTATAGTCTAGTCTATAGTCTAGTCTATAGTCTAGTCTATAGTCTAGTCTATAGTCTAGTCTATAGTCTAGTCTATAGTCTAGTCTATAGTCTAGTCTATAGTCTAGTCTATAGTCTAGTCTATAGTCTAGTCTATAGTCTAGTCTATAGTCTAGTCTATAGTCTAGTCTATAGTCTAGTCTATAGTCTAGTCTATAGTCTAGTCTATAGTCTAGTCTATAGTCTATCTAGTCTATAGTCTAGTCTATAGTCTAGTCTATAGTCTAGTCTATAGTCTAGTCTATAGTCTAGTCTATAGTCTAGTCTATAGTCTAGTCTATAGTCTAGTCTATAGTCTAGTCTATAGTCTAGTCTATAGTCTAGTCTATAGTCTAGTCTATAGTAGTCTATAGTCTAGTCTATAGTAGTCTATAGTCTAGTCTATAGTCTAGTCTATAGTCTAGTCTATAGTCTAGTCTATAGTCTAGTCTATAGTCTAGTCTAGTCTAGTCTATAGTCTAGTCTATAGTCTAGTCTATAGTCTAGTCTATAGTCTAGTCTATAGTCTAGTCATAGTCTAGTCTATAGTCTAGTCTATAGTCTAGTCTATAGTCTAGTCTATAGTCTAGTCTAGTCTAGTCTATAGTCTAGTCTATAGTCTAGTCTATAGTCTAGTCTATATGTAGTCTATAGTCTAGTCTATAGTCTAGTCTATAGTCTAGTCTATAGTCTAGTCTATAGTCTAGTCTATAGTCTAGTCTATAGTCTAGTCTATAGTCTAGTCTATAGTCTAGTCTATAGTCTAGTCTATAGTCTAGTCTATAGTCCAGTCTATAGTCTAGTCTATAGTCTAGTCTATAGTCTAGTCTATAGTCTAGTCTATAGTCTAGTCTATAGTCTAGTCTATAGTCTAGTCTATAGTCTAGTCTATAGTCTAGTCTATAGTCTAGTCTATAGTCTAGTCTATAGTCTAGTCTATAGTCTAGTCTATAGTCTAGTCATAGTCTAGTCTATAGTCTAGTCTATATAGTCTAGTCTAGTCTAGTCTATAGTCTAGTCTATAGTCTATAGTCTAGGCTATAATCTAGGCTATAGTCTAGTCTATGGTCTATCTATAGTCTAGTCTATAGTCTAGTCTAGTCTAGTCTATATATAGATTAATCGACTACACTAACTATAAAAGGCCAGAAGAAGTCCCTAGGAACAATCTGTTTATGAATCTCAAGTAGGAATACCTCTCAATCTATGCGTATCAATGTACTGAACATGAGACAAATAAAAATTGAATGGGCGAGTGAAATGGCGAGTGAAAATCATAGCCTTATATTTTGTAAAAAATATCTCCAAATTTTTTAAATGGACCCCAAAAATTACCAAATAAATTACCGTCCACGTCACACCCTAATATATATACTTTATAAGGTGGGAAAACTATATTGTATCAATCACAAATATATATTTTTGTAATTAAAGTGTATCCAATTAAAATTTAACATAATAAACTTTGCAGCTGTAACCCAGCTTAAACTTACATTGAGTTGATATGCCAATAAGATTTCTAGTCATTATTTTAGCACCAAGCACACTTACAAAGAAATACTTACTTTAGTCATTACAAATGGGTACTTTGGAAGTAGTTTTATTTTAGGTGCAAAATAAAATCCGACCCATAATGCGAATTTGGTATTTTCAAAAGTAATGTAAAGTAAGTTGTTGCTTAAGTAAAAATCATTATAAAGTTTATCTTGACTAATTATTACTACTAATTAGTCAAAATAAAGGATTCAGCTGTTTTCGTACAGATTGAAATTTGTTTCGATAATAATCAAAAATGGTTTGTGCTAAATGCTATCAGTCACCAATAAAAACTGAAAGTGTTAACAACGTTGTTTTAAGCAGTAAAATAAACAGAATTAAAATTTTAAAACTCTAGAAATGGGAAGGAAAAAAACCATGTTGCTTTCATATGGAAATATTCAAAATATATTTGTTTAATTGTAATAGTTTTGGAGCAGTTGGCGTTAACAACTGTAGCTGGTAAGTTTTATTCATAGGACTTAAAAGTTGGTGAAGCGCCTTGAAATACCTAATTATCGAGAGATAATTATCTTTTTTCTTCTTTAGGTATTAAATGTATACAGTGTGGAGACAGTGAAGAGACTTGTAGTACAACTCTTTGGGAAGATGCTAAAGTATGTCCCAATAAAGATCAAACCAAATGCTTTACACAAATTGGCAAGTATGAGTTTGTGTTTAAAATCCTGTTTAGAAAAGTAATTTTTCATAAAGACTAAACAGGTATTTAGGTTCTAGTCTGTGGTGTAGTCCACAGTCTGGATTATATTTTGAAACTATAATCTATAGCATGGATTATAATAGCGTCTATTGTCTAATGTCTAGTTCTATAGCCTGAACTATAGCAACGTCTATTGTGTGAACTATAGACTAGTCTATATACTAGACTAGTCTTTCTTATGAACTGTATATTGTATAGAATATTGTATAGAATATAATAATGGAGTCATTAGTCACTACTATAGTCAGGACTATTGTCTAGTTTATAGTCTGTATCTCTATTATCTAGACTATTGTTTTGGCAATAGACTACTCTATAATCTGGGCGATAGTGTAGTCTATAATCCGAACTATATTGAAGTATTTTGTTTGGACTACAGTCTAATCTATATTCTGGAATATTGTTTAGTCTAGACTAGATTATATTAAAGTCTTTAGTCAGGATTATAGTCTATAGTCAGCACTATAATCTAGTATATAGGATGTATTCTGAACTATAGGATATAGTCAAGATTAAAGACTTTAATATAGTCCACACTAGAGACTAGACTATAGACTAAATAAAGATCTGTACTTATGAACTGTACTATATATTGTATAAAATATAATATTGGAGTCATTAGTCACTACTATAGTCAGGACTATTGTCTAGTTTATAGTCTGTAGTCTACTCTATTATCTAGACTATTGTTTTGGCAATAGACTACTCTATAATCTGGGCGATAGTGTAGTCTATAATCCGAACTATATTGAAGTATTTTGTTTGGACTACAGTCTAGCCTATATTCTGGAATATTGTTTAGTCTAGACTAGATTATATTAAAGTCTTTAGGCAGGATTATAGTCTATAGTCAGCACTATAATCTAGTATATAGGATGTATTCTGAACTATAGGATATAGTCCAGATTAAAGACTTTAATATAGTCCACACTAGATACTGGACTATAGACTAAATAAAGATCTGTACTTATGAACTGTACTATATATTGTATAGAATATAATAATGGAGTCATTAGTCACTACTATAGTCAGGACTATTGTCTAGTTTATAGTCTGTATCTCTATTATCTAGACTATTGTTTTGGCAATGGACTACTCTATAATCTGGGCGATAGTGTAGTCTATAATCCGAACTATATTGAAGTATTTTGTTTGGACTACAGTCTAATCTATATTCTGGAATATTGTTTAGTCTAGACTAGATTATATTAAAGTCTTTAGTCAGGATTATAGTCTATAGTCAGCACTATAATCTAGTATATAGGATGTATTCTGAACTATAGGATATAGTCAAGATTAAAGACTTTAATATAGTCCACACTAGATACTGGACTATAGACTAAATAAAGATCTGTACTAAAGTTTTCAATTTAGTCCAGAATATAGTCTAGAACTGCCGGGTATATTATATAGTGTATAGTCTTGAAGTCTTTAGTCACGACTATTGTCTAGTCTATAATCTGGACTAAAATCTATAGTCTGGACAATAGTCTTAGTGTAAATTATGTTAAAGTTTTCAGTCAGAATTATAGTCTAGTCTTAAGTCCGGGAAATAGTCTCGTCTATAGTCCTAAACTATTATATAGTCTATAGTTTAGACTAGTCTGTGTCAAAGTCTAGTCAAGAGTCTGCTCAAATCTAAAATTAAAATGTAATTGTTAAATCCATTTATTTAAAATTTCTATATTACTCCTAGACACCAGTGGCATCATTACAAGAGGCTGCAAAACAGACGCTGAAGCCAAAGCATGTACAGCTGATAATAATTGTATTATCACAGGCGAGAGAAAAAATAATCAACTTATATGCAAAAAATGTATTGCAAACCGATGAAAAGTGCTCTCAAACCGACATGAATATTAACGATCTGGAATACAATCACATCTGCGTCGAAGGCGTTAGAAGATGTATTAAGAAAGTCGTTAACAAACTTGTCGTTAGAGATTGTGCCACTGAGAATGATATCCAACAATGTACCGATTCTAAAACCTGTGAAACATGTGACAGCATTAACTGCAATACTGGAGTATTCCCCAAGGGTCGCATCACTTGCTACCAATGTACTGGTAGCAGCTGCGAAGATATTACCGCAAATAATATAGTTGACAAAGTCTGTGCGAATTACGAAGAAAATGATCAATGCTATATGAAAGCGAAGAACGAAAACGACATGACACGTGGTTGCAAGTCCGATACTAGGGATAATGAATGTTTAGACGCTGCTGAAGGTTGTGTCTTTTGCTCCAACAATAACTGTAATAATTTAAAGTATATATATGATCAAGTACTCAAGTGTCATCAGTGCACCAGTGATGTTCCTACTAATAAATGTTTTGATAAACAAACTAGTAAAGTGTTTGAGAAATGTAAGAGACAAATTCGTTATACTTTTCCCGAATATTGTTATACCCAAATCAATGGTAATACCATTAAACGTGGTTGTCTTCATGATAATTTGGACCTAACAGTTGACATATGCAAAGATGCTGATAGTGATACCTGCACGAAATGCAATAATGGCGATGGTTGTAATAATAGGCAACAAATATTAGATTAAAAAAACAAATATTAAAAAAAACAATCTATAGTCTAAACTATATTCTGGACTATAGTTTAGTATATAGCCTGGATTATAGTCCAGTTTAAAAATATGTACATATATAAAAGTCATTATTACAATAAGAAAAGTAATACAGACGGTATATAGTGATCATTAAAAAATACGTTTTTGTGTAAGTACAAGTCTTTATGAAGTTTTATTTGGGTAATCGAGGGTAAATAGACTGATATTTTCAATAACTATAAAAATGCTTTGTGATACACGAAATAACTTCTTTACGGTTAAATCAATACAAAACAAATATCAATCAGTCACCTATAAAACTAAAGACGTGAACAACGTTATTTTAAGCGGTAAAATAAAAAATAGTTCCATAGTTTCCTCCTAAAAACGGGAATGAAAAACCATGATATTTTCAAGTGGAAAATATACAAAATATATTTGTTTAATTGTAATAGTTTTAATACAGTTAGCGTTAACAACTGTAGCTGGTAAGTTTTATTTAGTAGAAGTACAATTTCGAGAAATTTTTTTTTGAGGAAAATATACTCTACTATAAAATGACCTTGAAATATATACGGATGAAGTACGTATTTTTATATAAATATGTATAACAAATCAGTTTTCCTATATATGTATATTTTTTTCAGGAATTAAATGTATACAATGTGGTGGCAGTGAAGATACTTGTAGTACAACTCTTTGGGAAGATGCTAAAGTCTGTCCCAATAAAGACCAAACCAAATGCTTTACACAAATTGGTTAGTATTAGTTTTGTGGTCAAAAACTTGATAACATAATATTAAGTATGTGGAGCCCAAAGTATATATAAATTGGACATTTTGGTACTTTTTCGTTCTTTAACTGGTACTTTTTGAGTTTTCTATAATATTGAACCTATAAACATAAAATTAAACTAGTAGAGTCCGAACTTTTTGGTACTTTTTCGTTCTTCACAAGGTACACTTTGATTTCTCTATAATATTGAATCTAGAACTGAATTAGAACTGAACTAAAACTGAATTAGAACTAAACTAGAACTGAACTAGAACTGAACTAGACCTAGAACTAGAACTGAACTAGAACTAGAACTGAACTAGAACTGACTAGAACTGAACTAGAACTGAACTAGAACTGAACTAGAACTGAACTAGAACTGAACTAGAACTGAACTAGAACTGAACTAGAACTGAAACTAGAACTGAACTAGAACTGAACTAGAACTGAACTAGAACTGAACTAGAACTGAACTAGAACTGAACTAGACCTGAACAGACTGAACTAGAACTGAACTAGAACTGAACTAGAACTGAACTAGAACTGAACTAGAACTGAACTAGAACTGAACTAGAACGAACTAGAACTGAACTAGAATGAACTAGAACTGAACTAGAACTGAACTAGAACTGAACTAGACTGAACTAGAACTGAACTAGAACTGAACTAGAACTGAACTAGAACTGAACTAGAACTGAACTTAGAACTAGAACTGACTAGAACTGAACTAGAACTGAACTAGAACTGAAACTGAACTAGAACTGAACTAGAACTGAACTAGAACTGAACTAGAACTGAACTAGAACTGAACTGAACTAGACACTGAACTAGAACTGAACTAGAACTGAACTAGAACTGAACTAGAACTGAACTAGAACTGAACTAGAACTGAACTAGAACTGAACTAGAACTGAACTAGAACTGAACTAGAACTGAACTAGAACTGAACTAGAACTGAACTAGAACTGAACTAGAACTGAACTAGAACTGAACTAGAACTGAACCTAGAAACTGAACTAGAACTGAACTAGCAACTGAACTAGAACTGACCTAGAACTGACCTAGAAGAACTAGAACTGAACTAGAACTGAACTAGAACTGAACTAGAACTGAACTAGAACTGAACTAGAACTGAACTAACTAGAACTGAACTAGAACTGAACTAGAACTGAACTAGAAGTGAACTAGGACTGAACTAGAACTGACTATAGATAATAGACTAGACTATAGACTTTACTATAGACTAGACTATAGTCCGGACTATACACTAGAATAGTTTAGTCTATAGAGAAGAATAGTCTAGTTTATAGTCTGGACTGTATTCTAGTCTACAGTCCTCACTATAGTCTATAAATATTTAATAACAATTTTCAAATCTAAAAATAATATGTCCTCCCTATAGGCATAATTAGTTACTTAAATCGACTGTTAAATCTAAAAATTGTTTGTTTCTCCTAGACACTAGTGGCAACATTACAAGAGGTTGCAAAACAGACGATGAAGCAAAACATGTACAGCCGATAATAATTGCATTATCGCAGCCGAGAGAAAAAATAATCAACTTATTTGCAAACGATGTGATGCAACCGACGAAAAGTGCTCACAAACCGATATGAATATTAACGATCAGAAATACAATCATATCTGCGTCGAGGGCGTTAGTAGATGTTTCAAAAAAGTCGTTAACAAATTGGTAGTAAGAGGTTGCGCCTCTAAGAGTGATATCCAACAATGTTCCAATTCCAAAACGTGTGAAACATGTGATAGCGTTAACTGCAATACTGGAATATTCCCCAAGGGTCGAATCACTTGCTACCAATGTACTGGTAGCAGCTGCGAAGATGTTACAGCAAATAATATAGTTTACAAAGTCTGTGCGAATTACGAAGAGAACGATCAATGCTATACCGTGGCTAAGAGTGAGATCGACATGACGCGTGGATGCAAGTCCGATACTAGGGATAATGAATGTTTGGACGCTGCTGAAGGTTGTGTGTTTTGTTCCAACAATAACTGTAATAATTTAAAGTATATATATGATCAAGTGCTTAAGTGTCATCAGTGCACAAGTGATGATATAACTAGCGAATGTTTTGATAAACAAACTAGTAAAGTGTTTGAGAAATGTAAGAGACAAATTCGTTACAATTTTCCCGAATATTGTTATACCCAAATCAATGGTAATACCATTAAACGTGGTTGCCTTCATGATAATTTGGACCTAACTCTTGACTTATGCCAAGATATCGATAGTGATACCTGCTCGAAATGCAACAATCGCGATGGTTGCAATAGTGAGAAGGAAACATTAGATTTCACTTGTATCGTATGTCGCAGTGATGAGAATTTCAAGTGTTGGGATGAGGCAAATACCTTTAAGGGAAAACATTGTCGTGTTAGCCCTAGTTCACCCAAAGAAGGTTGTTTTCATGGCATTTGGCGTAAGTATGGAATTATTGTTTTCCTTATTAATCGGTTTATATTAATTTATTGTTCTCTCCCTCTCTCTACGTTTAACAGACGGTGATGCTATTCGTGGTTGTATAGTCGATGCCAGTACACAAAATCAAGGAATCTGTAAAAATGTAGAACTTAAACAGTGTAACGCTTGCTATAAAAAGGACTGTAATACGGCGAAATCATCAGATGCTTTTCCCCACTAAATAAAATTTATTATTTTATCTGTTCGCCACAATTATATTAATGACAAATTTGTTAATCTCTTAATTATAATTATGGAAAAAATATTTAAGAACAGCATTGTAGACAATTTAAACTGTAGCATATTAGCATCGCTGGGTGCCATTTTATTATTGCAATTATTTTCATAGCATAAATTGCATAATTTCTCATTTGCTAGACAATATTTAAGACCCTCTTCGGCCAATTCGTCCACACAGCCACGCATGGTTATATTTGTGTCAGCTGCAAAAAGAAATTTTATCATATTACTACTACAGTCTGGAGTGTAGTCGAATCTATGGTCTGGACTATAATCTAGTCTTTAGTTAACTTTATATTCTAGTCCATAGTTTAAACTATATTCTAATCAATAGCCTGGTATATAGACTAATCTACAGTCTGAACAATGGTCTAGACTATAAAATGGTTTATAGTCCGGCCTAATCGAAAGGCTGGGCTCTAGTCTAAAGTCTGTCTTATAGGTTAATCTATAGTCAGGACTATAGTTTGGGCTATAGTCTAGTCAATAGTCCAAAACATAGTCAGGATTATTGTCTAGTCTATAGTCCGGACTATAGTCTAGTCTATAGTCTGGACTATAGTCTAGTCTATAGTCTGTACTATAGTCTAGTCTATAGTCTAGTCTATAGTCTGTACTATAGTCTAGTCTATAGTCTAGTCTATAGTCTGGACTATAGTCTAGTCTATAGTCTAGTCTATAGTCTGGACTATAGTCTAGTCTATAGTCTAGACTATAGTCTGGACTATAGTCTAGTCTATAGTCTGGACTATAGTCTGGACTATAGTCTAGTCTATAGTCTGGACTATAGTCTGGACTATAGTCTAGTCTATAGTCTAGTCTATAGTCTAGACTATAGTCTGGACTATAGTCTAGTCTATAGTCTGGACTATAGTCTGGACTATAGTCTAGTCTATAGTCTGGACTATAGTCTAGTTATAGTCTGGACTATAGTCTAGTTATAGTCTGGACTATAGTCTAGTCTATAGTCTAGACTATAGTTTGGACTATAGTCTAGTCTATAGTTTGGACTATAGTCTGGGCTATAGTCTAGTCTATAGTCTGGACTATAGTCTAGTCTATAGTCCGGACTATAGTCTAGTCTATAGTCTGGACTATAGTCTAGTCTATAGTCTGGACTATAGTCTGGACTATAGTCTAGACTATAGTCTGGACTATAGTCTAGACTATAGTCTGGACTATAGTCTAGTCTATAGTCTGGACTATAGACTAGTCTATAGTCTGGACTATAGTCTAGTCTATAGTCTGGACTATAGTCTGTACTATAGTCTAGTCTATAGTCTAGTCTATATTCTGTACTATAGTCTAGTCTAGTCTATAGTCTGTACTATACTATGGTCTAGTCTATAGTCTGGACTATAGTCTAGTCTATAGTCTGGACTATAGTCTAGTCTATAGTCTGTACTATAGTCTAGTCTATAGTCTAGTCTATATTCTGTACTATAGTCTAGTCTAGTCTATAGTCTGTACTATACTATGGTCTAGTCTATAGTCAGGACTATAGTCTAGTCTATAGTCTGGACTATAGTCTAGTCTATAGTCTGGACTATAGTCTAGTCTATAGTCTAGACTATAGTCTAGTCTATAGTCTAGACTATAGTCTGGACTATAGTCTAGTCTATAGTCTGGACTATAGTCTGGACTATAGTCAAGTCTATAGTCTGGACTATAGTCAAGTCTATAGTCTGGACTATAGTCAAGTCTATAGTCTGGACTATAGTCAAGTCTATAGTCTGGACTATAGTCAAGTCTATAGTCTGGACTATAGTCAAGTCTATAGTCTGGACTATAGTCAAGTCTATAGTCTGGACTATAGTCAAGTCTATAGTCTGGACTATAGTCAAGTCTATAGTCTGGACTATAGTCAAGTCTATAGTCTGGACTATAGTCAAGTCTATAGTCTGGACTATAGTCAAGTCTATAGTCTGGACTATAGTCAAGTCTATAGTCTGGACTATAGTCAAGTCTATAGTCTGGACTATAGTCTAGACTACAGACTATAGTCGGGACTAGACTCGACTATAGTCTATAGTCTGGACTACAATCCAATATATAGGCTGAGCTAACGTCTAATCTATAGTCTATAGACCAATCGAAAGGCTGGGCTATAGTCTAGTCTAAAGTCTTTCTTATAGGTTAATCTATAGTCAGGACTATAATCTAGCCTATAGTCTTGGCTATAGTGTAGTATATAGTCCAAAACATAGTCTGGAATATTGTCTAGTCTATAGTCTAGACTATAGTCGGGACTAGACTGGACTATAGTCTGGACTACAATCCAATATATGAGCTAACGTCTAATCTACAGACTATAGACTAATCGAAAGTGTGGGCTATAGTCTAAAGTCTATGGACTATATCCCAGACTATAGTCTAGCCTATAGTCTGGGATATAGTCCAGTCTATAGTCCAACACATAGTCTGGATTATTGTCTATTCTATAGTCTAGACTATAGTCGGGACTAGACTGGACTATAGACCAGTCTATAGTCTGGACTACAATCCAATATATAGTCAAGTATAGTCTAGTTTATAGTTTGGACTATAGTCTGGACTAAAGTCTATGCAATATCCTTGACTATAGTCCAGACCTTTAATTCTTTTTTGGCTTACCTTTATATAGCGTATAACAACCATTATGCTTTCCTGAATCACCATCGCTAACTTTCGGACATGAAGCTTGACGTGTTGCTTTCATATTACATTTTAAATCCTCAACACTAGTGCAAATAAAACAGGAAACTTGATGATCCTTAACATCTTTAGTTGCAGCATCTTCAGCATGTGTTGCGGGCGATGCATTTTCTATATCTTTTTGATCTTCCTCCTCTTTGGCTGGTTCATCGTTAGGCATTTCAGAGTCTTCGTTAGCTGCATCAACAGTTTCGGTAGGATCTGCAGCTGCTACTTCTTCTGGTTCTGTTTCAGGTTGGGGTTCCGGTTCAGGTTCATCTGCTGATTCCGGAGCGTCCCCTGCTGCAGGTTCGGGTGGAGTTTCTTCTTCTTTTGGCTCTTCAGGTTCGCCTTCTGGTTCTGGAACTGTTTCCGCTTCAGTCTCTTCAACTGGCTCCGCTGCAGGCTCAGGTTCTGGCTCAGCTTCGGGTTCTGTTTCATCAGCTTGAGGTTCAGCTTCTGGTTCTGGTTCAGCTACAGGCTCGGCTTCTGGTTCAGCTTCAGGCTCAGCTCCTACTTCAGATTCTTCTCCTGTGCCTTCTTGAGCTTCGGCCTCAGCTTCCTCATCTTGGTTTTCTAAACGTGGCCCCAATTTATCATTAAATACCTCTATATCATTCGAAATACTCTGATAATTTGTATGTTCTTTAATGTCGTTATTATTTTTATCCACTGTCGGTTGCGTGAGTTCATTACCCACCGGTAAAGATTTAGATAGTTGTAGTACAATGGGAAGTGATGTTGAAGGCACTGTTAGAATTTCTTGTGAATCATCTGTAATTTGAACAAGAGTTCTATATTCGGCCGTACCGAATCTTATATACCCTTCACCATAGTGTGTTAAACAACAGTCAGTACGTATTTTATTTTCAAGAACGAAAAAGTACCAAAAAGTCACCTTTTACAGGTTCTCATTTACTTTGGGCTCTTCATGCTTATTTTGATGAACGACAAAGTACCTAAAAGTACCCTTTTTATAGGTTCTCACTTACTCCAGGCTCTACATACTTAATTTCTTGTTTCTAGGTTCAGTATTATAGAAAATTCAAAAAGTACCTTTTGATGAACGAAAAAGTACCTAGAAGTACCCTTTTATAAGTTTCTAGGTTCATTTTTATAGAAAATTAAAAAAGAAGCTTCTGAAGAACGATAAATCACCAAAAAGTTCCCTTTTATAGGCTTTCACTTACCACGGGCTCTACACACATAATTTCATGTTTCTAGACAATAACAATACACTGCTTCATTCGTAAATAAATAGCGCTCACTCCTGAAACATGTCTGATTGAATTATTGAAAATTCGGTTCTGGGGTCTTCTGAAAACTGATTTCAACATACACCAGGATAGACAGACATTTAAAACAAACGTAAATAAGATAGGGAATTGCGTAGACGTACAGACGGACATCGCATAAGCCGACTTCGATACCTATAACGAGTTTACAAACTATATTTGTAACTTATGAGGTCACAAAATTTTTCTTTAAAATTATGAACAGAACAACAAACTCTATACAACCATTTCACGAAGGTGAAGGGTATAAAAAGTAAGATGAAATTGTTTTAAACATAAATATTAGAAGAAGATATGTATAGTCTAGTCTATATAACTTTATAGTCTTGTCTATACTCTAAGTCTATAGTCGTCTATATCTATGTCTATAGTCTAGTCCTATAGCCTAGTCTATTAAGTCTAGTCTATGTCTATCTAGTCTAGTCTATAGTCTAGTCTATAGTCTAGTCTATAGTCTAGTCTATAGTCTAGTCTATAGTCTAGTCTATAGTCTAGTCTATAGTCTAGTCTATAGTCTAGTCTATAGTCTAGTCTATAGTCTAGTCTATAGTCTAGTCTATAGTCTAGTCTATAGTCTAGTCTATAGTCTAGTCTATAGTCTAGTCTATAGTCTAGTCTATAGTCTAGTCTATAGTCTAGTCTATAGTCTAGTCTATAGTCTAGTCTATAGTCTAGTCTATAGTCTAGTCTATAGTCTAGTCTATAGTCTAGTCTATAGTCTAGTCTATAGTCTAGTCTATAGTCTAGTCTATAGTCTAGTCTATAGTCTAGTCTATAGTCTAGTCTATAGTCTAGTCTATAGTCTAGTCTATAGTCTAGTCTATAGTCTAGTCTATAGTCTAGTCTATAGTCTAGTCTATAGTCTAGTCTATAGTCTAGTCTATAGTCTAGTCTATAGTCTAGTCTATAGTCTAGTCTATAGTCTAGTCTATAGTCTAGTCTATAGTCTAGTCTATAGTCTAGTCTATAGTCTAGTCTATAGTCTAGTCTATAGTCTAGTCTAT